GGACAGCGCAAGCGCGAGGATGCCGGAGCCAGGCCGCCCGATTGAGAAGGCGTCCGGCGGATGCAAAAGGACCACGGCCCACGGCGGGTCCGTTGGCAGATCTTGACATGGGCGTAGACCACAGTAGCGACGCGACAGGCTGGCTGTCGTCCGACGAGGGGCTTCGGGCCTTCTTGTTAGTGTTGGGACAGGTCAGCCAGCCAGCCAGCCAGCCAGCCAGATAGTAGAGCGCTGGACGAGACCTCGGGCCTCGAGCATCGAGCATCGAGAAGATGACTGGAGGAAAGGCGAGTGGGATAATCAGTGGCAAACTGGCAGCACCATATCGTCTTGCTCGAGCCTCGAATACAACGGAAACCGGCACCTGGCCAGCATTGGCACATTCACACCAGATCTGGCTGTTGCCCCTGGTAGTGTCCCATCATGTAATATGGATGTATGTGCAGTTTGGGTCATCCTGTGTCCGTGCTGCTTGGCAAAGTTGCGTGCTATCGCACACCGTCCTTAGCACTATAGAGCTGAGATCCTGAGTCTTGTCTTTGACTGCCACGGCCGGATCCGGGACAGTTCATGATTCGGCCTACTCCATTCCACCATGCATCCTCCGTCACGATTCTAGAAGTGGCGCGCTTGAGCACGCCCTAACGCCACCATCAGAGCAAGGCGAGGGCCCGTTCCCGGCATCCGAGATAGTGGCTGAGGCGATCAGTGTGGCCAACGTCAGGTGCTCCATGACCAGAGGACATAAACATGCGACTATTGTTGCCTTGCGGATTGGCGAGGTTGACCCCGAGGACCGTCCGACTGGAAGCAAGGCCCCATTGTATTAACACCAGATCAGAGTTTGAGTTAAGGTAGAGGAGGAGGCTAAGCTCACTTTGGTGCTAGCAATACAACAAACAACCTAATTAGAGACGGAGAGTGCCGCTGTTAGGTAACACAATTCTTGATGCGTCGAAACAGAGCGCCGGGCGCGCAGTGGAGATGCATGTCGCTTGGGGCGCGCCAAAAGTCCCCCAGGTCTGTGACAGGCTACTTAGCAGCCCTTTCAAAAGATCTTGGTGACTATCGAATTACTTAATGTCGACGGCGGGCAGCGGAGCCGCATTCCTTGGCTCGCGCGCCATTGTGGCCCTGGTGGAGAGCGGTACCTCTTGATGTCTGTGGCAGGCTTGGGCTTTTTTTTCCTCTTTTTTTTTTTCTCCGTGTAGCCCCCCTGCCTGGCGACATCAGAGCTTACTTTGTCTGCGACAAGAGACTGTATTAGTCGTATTCAGGCCGACTACATGTACGCACCAGTACCTGTGGACTTTCCAAGATCCTTCAGTCAGGCCTCCCAACTTGAAATGAAGAAAACCCGGGTGTCGTTTACTCGCCCTGCGGAACGTGTGATCTTGTGGTGGAGGCCCAGGCCTCGGCGAATAGGCAAGGATGCGCGCACGCCAAGGGATCAAGATCCCTGCCATGGCCCATGGATGTCCTGCAAGCCTCGCGTATGACCAGGGGCGAGTGCACCACAACCCGTCAAAAGGTATACATGTACGTACTCTAGGTAACCAACGTCAACGGGTGCAACATCAGGCAAGCGTTCTGGACTGATGACTGCAGTATCTGCCTCGAGCAAACTGATAAGGCTTCCCGTGGCCGTGTTCAATCACATGTGATATGTAGGCTGCACCAAGTTTGGGGACATGGCGCAGGTGGTATCTCCCGAAGAACAGGTGGTGGTGATGCTTTCATTACGCCCAGCGCGAGGTCTATCGCCAGACAAGCGCATACTAGCAAATCCTGGTGTCGTTGCACGAGATAATCACACGTGCCACGCGCTCCAGCGCGGGCAGCAACGCGGAGAGAACCTGGGGTACATGTAGCTTGGGGAAGCAATTGTCACAGAAACGTAAAAAGAATTAAACCCAAAGACGCGAGCCTATTTCCCCAGACATCAGTGACTTCTCGGATGAGGCTTCGCATCATCAAGGCAGTTGAACGGGACCATTCCAGCAACAAACGGACGGGCAGCATCGGATATCATAGGCTTTGCCATCGGGTTGCCCTCCCTCCTCCTCGCTGCAAAAATCCCGGACTGCAGATAGCGCGTATCCTTATCTTGGTTTGCCCGTCGAGACAAAGAATCATAAGGCTGCGCGTGCTGATTGGTAGTCCTCGTTGGCTGCCTCTTGTGTCGCAGTTGTCTTCCCACTTCGCAATGCCCAACGCATGTGCCTATCCTCCTCAGCCAAGACCCCAATGGCCACCTTGTGCCGGCGTTCCGAGGCAGCACACAGCACAGGCTTGGCAGCCCGCTTTTCACCCGTCGAAAGGGGATGGAAGCATGCATGGAATGCCCTTTTACCCTAGCAAGGAGCGGGAGGGGCGCCTCTCGCACATCTTGGCACTCGCTCAGAAGATCCCAAAAAGAGCACAAGTGGGAACTTTTCAACGTCGTCCGTGCCGCCAAGGCCTGGGAATTCAAGTTCAAGGAGCAACGCGCTCATGCCATTCGCGCAGAGATTGAGCACTCGCCATCGCGATATCGTAGACTGACAGTCATGATTGGCCTGTACTATTGTCACGGACCTCGCTTAGACACGACATCGTGATGCTCGTCTCCCGTTGCACCACAAACGCAGCCACGACGAACGCAGTCGACCGTGCCAACGTTTGGCCTTATCAGCGGCAGCTGGGGTGTCTAAAACAGCCTTGTTCCAAAACTACCAAGGAGTCTTTAAGGTGCTGGGGCCTCAGCAAATGACCTCGTGGAGCCCATCCAAGACCCCACAGCCTACATACCCACCCCGGATGAGGAAAGTGTTCTGAACTGATGCCAGCCGTTCTGGCTTGATGTGTAGACAGCAACATCAGGGACTGCTTGGGTCTCTACACAGAGGATGATGCTCACAATCATTGTTCCCGTCTCTGAAATCGCGCCTTGACGCCAGTCATGATCGACAAAAAGTACGATGGCATCTCCTCCTCCGCTGGCGCCTCAACACATATCTCAAACTCCCTGATCAAAACCACGGCCATCTTCCACACCATCATCTCGGCCAGGTGTCTCCCGGGGCAGGACCTTGCGCCGCCGCCCCAACCCAGGCTGTACATGTCCATTGTCTTTGCTCGCTGCTCATCTCCCAGCCATCTGCTGGGCTCGAAACTAGCCGGATCTGGCCCGCACACGTCCGGGTTCCGATGCAGGGCAACGGGGTTGCATCCGACCGTCGTCCCGGCTGGAATATCGTAGCCGTGCAGGCGGGCCCCCGACGCGGGGACGACGCGTGGTAGCGCCATGGACACCACGGGGTACAGACGCCTCGATTCCTTGAGGACGGCGTGCAAGATGGGTGTCCTGTCCGCCTGGTTGTACGAGGGGTACCTGTTCAGCTGGCGCAGCTCATCCGCTAGCTGCTGCTGTATCTCTGGGTGCTCACCCAGGACGGTCATCAGGGACGTCAATGTCGACGCCATGGTCTCGTGCCCGGCGCCAAAGTTGGTCATGGTCATTTTGCGCAGGTACGCCTCTGTGAATTCGGGTCGGTCTTGATGGAGCTGCACAAGATCGGCTGCAATGTCCGTGCGCGCGTCCTTTTGCCCCTGCTTCATCACCTTGATCCTCTGCCCAATCTTCTGGCCCACAGCCTGCATCCTGTCAATTTTCTGCTAGTCAAGGAAGGGGCTCCGGCAAACCGTGGGTACTCACAGGGAAGAAGGGTCTGAATTTGGGTGGCGCGTCAAAGTTGATGCCCCAGACCACACTGAACGCCCGCCCAATCGACATGGACAGAGACTCGAGCTTGGGGACTAGGGGAAACAAGCCTAGGACGGATTTGCGCCTCCACGCATTGTAAGCATGGACGCTCGTCCCTCGATCGCTCTCCTGGTCCAACATGCCTGGCGACCATGACACGACCACGGCCCCGAGGCACTCGACGACGAAGAGGTGCATCCACTCCTTGAGGTCAATTTCGTTGCCCTGCAGCGAGCGAAGCTTTTTGACCACACGTTTCGTGACCAAATCCACGCTCCCCTCGTGTCGGAGCACGTTGTTGGGTCGGTAGACCGGCCCAATCAGCCGACGCTGGACACGGTATCGCTTCATGTCTCCCTCGGAGAGCAGATCGAGCTCGTCTGGCCAGGTCACTCGGAGGCGCCCGTCGACCTGGAGTGGACGTATGAGTGCTGTTGCGACTGCGCGCCGTCAACATGTGGGAGGACGGGGCGTAAAAGTCGCACCCTGAGGCAAGGCTCAACTACTTACGGTAAAACTCTGACTTCTCAAAGCCACTCCCACTGCTGTATATTGTCCTGAACGCCTCCTTGCTGCTGAACCAGATCTCATTGGGCCCTACCCTCACGGCTGGTCCGTAGCGCGCATGCAACGTCTTTCCCAGCTCGGCCACACGGCCATTTTTCACGTGCCATGCCAGCCAGATATTGGACACTGACGCCGCCCATGGGCCAGGAACTCTGGCCAAGGGATGAAGGAGTGCATTGTACACGCACGATAGGAGAATCCACGTGACGAGAAGGATTGCGACTGACGAAATCGCCCTCGTGGTGTAGCCCAGGATCCAGAGCAGAGCGTCGATTGCCGGTAGAGTTGTCATGATGGCCGCAAATCGAAGCGGCAGCGATGCGCCTGGCAGAATCTCATTTTTCGACAAGGGCCAAATGTGAGCATGTCCAGCGCCCTGAATGGTGGCCTTGGCTGCGTACTCAATTCAATGTTCCAGCATGAAGATGGTGATCATGGTGAGTTCAAAGCGGGGCGAACGCTGATGGAAATTTCTTATCTTTGGCGAAAATCAAGCACGCGGATCAACGCGACACCAATCTTGATCATGCACAATTAATAAAAACATCCTACTATGTATGGGCGCCAGGCGAATCAACTCTGCGACGATGAGCGAAATGCTCGTCAATCTGATGCCACATTTAGCGAATGCTCGACACCCACATGAAGTCGCATTCAGGCTAGACTTGAGTCTGTTCATCTACTGATCATGTCGCTATGGGCGGAGGAAGCCTGTCCTTTGTCATCCTGCCCCAGTCCTCAATGGGCGTCAGCTTGACCGGCAGCTCCTTCAGGACAGGGCCCATGTCGACCTTGAAAGGCTTCTCAGGCGACTCGTTGTAGTGCGTGTAGGCTTTGTGCATCTGCGCCACGAGTTGGTCGGCGTCAATATTCGACCTCTGCTTCATGGCTACACTAATCTTGTCGCAAAAGTCGTCCACCGTCTGGTGCTCATACCCAATCGGCCTCTCCCACGCGCGCGACAGCTTGGCGGCCAACTCGTGCAAGTGCACCGTCTCTGGGCCACCAACGGCAATGTTGCGTCCAGCAAGGTCGGGGCGGTCAATAGCCGCGACCATGAGCTGTGCAATGTCGTGATGGCAGATCCAGGACACCTCGAGCTCTGGCTTGTGGCAGTAGACAATGGTCTGGCGCTCGGCGATCGGGGGGTACGCCCAGCCCTCGAGGAGATTGTCTAGAAAGACCACTGGCTGGATGGAGATGACGGGGAGGCCTTGTTCCCGCAGTATGCTTCGAATTTCGATTCGATCGTCTTGCGCCTCGATGCCGCGCTTCTCCTCGGGCACCGGCATGCTTGTGTTGAAGACAACCAGGCGGACGGACGACGACTTCTTGGCAGCCTGCGCAATAGCTCTCGCAGCGTCCAGGATGGGCTCTGTCGGTTGGAAGGACGTAGACGGCAGGTTGAGAAATATCACCTCGGCCGTGGCGCAGACGCTGTCGAGGGCCGCCTGATCAGCAAAGTCGGCGGCACATGTCTCAATGGGCTTGCCGTCAATCTCTATCGGCTTGGGGTTGCGGCCAACAGCGACGGGTTCATGTCCAGTCCGCGCGAGCACAGCGACCTGCGCTGCGCCTTGGACTCCCGTGGCACCGAATACGACTACTCGTGTCATGGTGAGAGGCTGGTGTTGGGTGTTGGGTGGATGACACAGTTGTAGCCTCTGAGAGCGGTCATCGAAGATTTATCAGCGACTATTATTGACAGCATTACTCTATCGAGGCGGTAATCAATTTCCGCCGGATATCTCATTGTCCGGGAACTCTCAATGAGAATTACAAAGCAGTCGGGAAAACTTATGCGAGCTGAGTATCTCCGCACAGTATCCGCCCCCGGATCGGCGCCTCCCGCTTTCCCAGATCAGGCGGCATCTACTAGCCAAGCTGAGAAGTATTCAAGAAGTTAGAAACGTGAGGCAAAGGAGAACCGGGTTGAAAGGGCTATCATAGTGGCCCGGGTCTTCACAGCCGCTACTAGCTGATTGAGAAGCTTAAAGAGCGCCGATTGCTGATGTAGCACTAGAGTCGGCCAGACGAGCTTCCTCATCAGCATCTGTTGCCGACGAAGAAATTGAAAATGGCTGTACCAATCCACGGCTCTCGCGCCTCTGGCGCTGATGATATTCAAGACATGTCCAAAAACGGCCATCATGAAGAGGTCGAAAATGCACAGGCAGTCTATGCACCGACGAGCGATGAGGATCCCTATGGCGGCAAGTTGTCAAAGGAGGTCATCTTGGCCTACATTGTGCGTTTAGCAGTACCTCCACGAGAGGTTCGATGGTGGCTAACAGTAATAGGCCATGTGCGGACAGATCAACGCCTACATCATGTCCATGCTGATACCGGCAACCACCCTCCCCATGATCAACGCCGAGCTTGGGCCGGACCCGAATTCGACCTGGATTACCTTGAACTGGACCTTTGGCGCCTCCATGGTTGTCTCGATCGGCGGCCGTCTGTCGGACATCTTTGGTCGACGGTACTTTATGATGACGGGTGCCATTATCTCCATCTGCGGCGCGCTTGTCGGCGCCAACGGGCGTTCCATCAACATGATGATTGCCTCTGGCGCTCTCTTTGGTGTCGGCTCGGGGTTCCAGGAATTATGCTACGCCTGCGTGCAGGAGCTCATGCCGAACCGATACCGCATCGCCGCCGTGGGGGGCTTGGACGTCAGCCTGGCCATTGCCTTCTCCAGTCCCGTCATCAGCTACGCCTTCATCGCATACCAGGACATTGGATGGCGAGGCGCCTACTGGTACCTTTTCTCATTCCATTGCATGGCCTTTATCCTACTCTTTCTTTTCTACACGCCTCCCGACTTTGAGACGAAGCACCGTGCAGATGGCAAGACCAAGTGGCAGCTGGTCAAGCAGATGGACTGGGTCGGTGTCTTTCTCTTCCTCTGTGGTGGCGCCCTGTTTCTTATTGGAGTGAATTTTGGCGGTCGAACGTACCCATGGACGCACCCAGGAACGCTGGCGCCCATTATCATTGGCGGATGCTGCTTCATTGCCGTCGGCTTCTGGTGCTCGTACGCCAAGCTGGAGTATCCGCTCTTCCCACCAAAGCTCTTCAAGAAGGTTCGCGAGTGAGTCTCGACTGTGTGATACAATCCCCTCGTGCAATCCCGCTGACTTGAAAAGGTTCGACATGGTCATTGTGGTCTGCTTTGTCGGCGGAATGCTCTACTATAGCATGAACGTCCTCTGGCCTCGTCAGTCGCAGGCGTTTTTCATTCCTGAGGACGACATCATGATGCGCGGCGTGTACGCCATCATCTTTTCGTGTGGCACATGGAGTACGTTGCGTTGCCAATTCCCTTCCTACTCGTCCTGCCTGATGCTGACCCTTGTACGCAGCGGCCGGCCTTATCGTGGTCTTCATCTGTTCGCGTCTCCATCACGAGAAGTGGCAGCTGGTCGGGTTTACCGTTGTGCAGACAGCTCTGATCGGATCCATGGCGTCTGTGGGGGCCGACGACGAGGGGCAGGCCATTGCAACGGTCGTACTAGCCGCCACCACGATCACGCCGCCGCAGCTCCTGTCCTTTACCATGTTGTCGTTCGGCTTGGAGGACCAGAGCGACCTGGGTGTGGCCGTGGGCCTCGCCGGCACGTTCCGACTGTTTGGTGGTGCCGTTGCCACCGCCATCTACACGGCCATTTACTCCAACCGCTTCAACGAGGTTCTCCCATCGACCATGACTGATGCGATTGAGAATTCGGGTGTCGAGTATTCGGACGGCCTTCTCCAGCAGCTCATCACCGCAGCGGCAACCAACACCCGGGCAGCATATGAAGCAGTCGCCGGCTCGTCGCCCGCACTCGTCCGCGAGGCAGAGAAGGCGGCGCGCCAGGCCTACGTTCAGGGCTTCAGGCTGGTCTATCTCGTGGCCATTGCGTTTGGCATCCTGGCCATTATCGCAGCGGCTTGCACCGTCAGTACCGACAGGCGCAAGAAGAACAACGACAGGGCCGTCATTACAATGACTGAGGCGAAGAAGAGGGATCTCATGCTGCAAGACAAGGTGGCTGCTTGAGTGGGGTCAGAAGAAGTGGCCACTTGGACAATTGAGTAAAAACAATGGTGATTCGGAATCGCTTCATATGCAAGTGGTATCTCTAATAATCACCGTCCCCGCCTCGCTACTCCGTGAAAGGACACCTTGCTTGCCCCGACCCGATTGGGTATCGTCGGGTTCATTTTTGGGCCTCCTGAGCCGTGATCTGCAGTTCCTTGCCATACTTTTGCATGGCGAGCTCCTTGTCGCACTTGAGGCAGTACCAGTGCGTCTTCTCCCACCAGTGCCTGCGGTTGGGCAGAGGCCACCAGAACACGTCCATGAACTTGGCCTTGCCCTCGCTGCGGCCTTGTATCCGGGTCTGTGTGTCCTGGTTGCAATGAGGGCAGTGCACCCACTGTGGCCTGACGTCCAGCTTCTCGATGGGGACTATGGTCCTGTCGACTGGCTCCAGACCAGCTGCGCCATTGGGAGCGTCGTTGGGAGCGCCACTGGGAGTGCCTGCGGTTGCACCGCTGTGGCTGTCCTGAGGACGATCGACAAAGGGATCCTGGGGGACCACGCTCTGTGATCCTGGGGCCTGGGGCTTTTCCACGAAGCCTTGGCCAGGGACGTAGCCTGGAGGCCAGTCGCTGCGCGGTTGATTGTTAGCTGCCTTGTGCAATGATGAAAGACACCGATGGGTGTGGTAGGGGGAAGCTCACCCTGCCTGGGGAGGAGCTGCGCCAGTGTCGACTTTGGACATTGCCGTAGGCGAGTTGCTAGTTATTAACTTGTTGCACGTAGAGAGATTCTGGCTGCAGCCGATTGGGTTGGACTTGTGTCAGATCAAGTGGCCACATGGCTGATCTTAAATATCCGTGTTCTTCACGCATTGATGCTTGTCGACTCGAGGTCAGCCTAACGCGACATATCGTGAAGCTAGACTCGCGAATGACGTCTGTCGCTTCCTCGGGGTTGTGGGGGCCAGGACAGGATTCACCACTCACGAGATACGGATGCTGGGCACTCTACTGGTATGGACCAGCCATTGGATTGCTCGTATACGCATCGACATGATTGGCGGAGCTATGTAGGCAAATAAGCTCGGCATGCCCACAGCCTGGGAGCTTGTTTATGGGCCTTATTAAGCATTCGAGACGGAACCAGTCAGCTCTCCAATAAATACCTAGTGAAGTTGGAACGCGACGAAGACAGCATAAGCAAACGAGCTGCCAGCCACCGAGGCTGCCAGCAGAACGGGAGCACGAATAGAATGGATTGACAGTATGAACATTGAACATGAAATTGAAAAGCACACGAACGGCTGGGATATGCGCAACCCCAGTCGCACCTTGCCTTGGTTTTTGTCATGGACGGTTGTTAGACACAAGAGCATTTTACACTATCACAGCGTTTCTGTCACAATGCAGCAATGAACTCATCATCATAGATAACGTTGCTAAATTTTTAAGTATATGAAAACTAAAGTAAGACTGTCCTTCACAACACATGCAATTTAGACCGCCTTAATGAGCCGAATGTCGGTGATGTCCATCAGGCCCCGGGTAGGCAGAATTGGTGCCAACCGTATGTAGCTATCGGGCTTACGTACTCCGTACATAGCCGAGAAAACGTTGAAGTGACAACAGCACAAGACAGTATAGAGAAGGAAACTGGAACGCTTGCCCTTACTGATGTCGCTTCACTGCTGCATGGCTTCACTCGCATCAGCCGACGCGGACATTGGCCAAGCCGATGAACGTCGGCTTACTTGTTCACCGACAGCATACACCGACAGCATTCACAGGGCGAAAGAAAGCGTCAAGCTCTCGGGTTTCAGCTTACTCAGGCGCGTACAGATAGAAGCAAATCTTTTTTACAGTCGGTCTCTCACAGGTCGCAAATGTATGTGGGCAGCCTGTCAGAATGCATGATACCTGTCCACGGACAGAACTCGGATTCGCTTGGAGCTTGTGACAGCATGGCAATATCTGCGTGTGCTTGTGATGAAAGCGAGGCTTATCGATGCTTGAGCGCGCAAGACTTGACTCGGCGGCCTCGCTGTTCAGCAAACAATCGCGCCAGGCTGGCTTTATCAGTTTTAAAATTGGTGATTATGGGGACCTGCATAATCACATGAAAACATGTAGTGCATGGCCGTCAGCATGAATACCGTATTTACGTACTCAGAAAACACGAACAGACTAGTCCGAGCTTATACCCCATTTAAATTGCGGAGGGGTGACGCTCGGACCAGCCGACAGCACGTGATGGCCACTTTGAGCGAATCTATGTAGGTGCCCAAAGGGACCTGCCAGAATCGAGTCAATCGACGGCACGACGCCTCCACCGGAGCCAAGACAACGCGAACGCGTCCCTGCGGCTGCTGCCCAAGAGACGGAAACCATCGCTTTATCTCGGTCCAGCCTTTTTGTAGGCCTAAGCGTGGAAAGTTCCGTGTCCTCGGGAAGGATGCATGGTGGCAACACACCTTCCGCGTGGCACCGCCTCAACAAATCGTATCGAGTCATTGAACGGACAGGACTGCTCAGAATGGACATGGGCCCGTCCTCTTCACAACACCATATTGCCTGCCATATCAGCGCCGAGAGACTGCTTATCGAACAAGTGGGCACGCACAAAGAATGCAATACGTACGTCCAAACACATTCCATGGATCAGTTCGATGCAATTTTGGGGCACCAGGGCCTCGCATACGTGGCCGGGATCACAAGCGTTCCGCCCATCAACTCTACCAGGTATGCTTATTTCGACCTGCCTCTTTCGTCCGCGCTAGCGAGAAAGCATGCAAAGAAGCAGCAGAAGCTGACATGTACAGGGGGGCCTGAGACTTGATCAGAAAGCTTGGCTTTATCTTTAAGGGTGGTGGCCCAAGCTTGGCTTGCGGGGGTGGACCCGTTTCCAGTCAATAAGGTTGACGGCGCCTATCCAGCGTGACCTAGACGACCGCGACCGAGCCGCAGCCAAGGCGATAGAACATGAGCGAAGCCTTTGATTGGCTTGTCTGAGACTTCTCCCGTTGGTTCTCCTCCCAGGGTCTGCAAAGGATCCTCCCCCAGACCACGCCCGGTCACGCTCGACTCGCTCGAGACTGCGTGCCAAGATTCGGTGGCTGATGAACGGGGCTTGGTATTGATAACACTTTGGTCGTGCAACTGCCACCTTCCACATCTATCCAGTCAGGGGCGGGCTTTTGGTCGTGATTCGATCCCCCTGCCGTCTGTTGGAGGGTTGCCGCGCAGGAGTGCGAGTGCTTAAATCGAGGCGCTCCCTCAGCACAAGACCTATCCTGTTCCCTCGAGTCTCTGACTGCCCGTTTCATCTCCTTATCAGTGGTCTGCGCCTAAAGTTGTTCGTTGCTCTCCTACGCAGGCCTCATACTATACTTGTCGTTCCAACGTCCATCATTATGGCGGAACCAGCCCCCAAGGCAAGCATGGGCCGGCGAATCTGGCTCATGGTGGCGCCAGACGCCGGCAAAGACGACGATGGCCGCGACAACTTTAACTCACGAGGTCAATACGTCCTTTGCGCCATTGGCGGTGCAGTCGGTCTCGGTAACCTGCTTCGCTTCCCCTCGGTCGTCTTCAACAACCACGGTCTCCAATTCTTCGTCCCATACTTCATCGCCCTGTTCTTCATCGGTATCCCCATCCTGACACTCGAGGTCGTCATCGGACAAGCCTACCGTGCTGGCTGTGTCGGCGCGTGGAACAGCGTCAGCCATCGCGCCAAGGGCGTTGGTCTGTCTATGGTCTTCAACGGATACACGGTCGTGACCTACTACGTCGCCATCTTGGCGTGGGCCATGGTTTACTTCCGCCACTCCTTCACGAGCCCGCTGCCATGGTCAGACATGAACGCGCCCGATTTCTTCCTCAACAACGTTGTCAAAAACCCATCACCCATTGGCGACAAGACACAAGAGATGATCTCCTACCCCGGCACTGGCGTCGTCGGTGAGACGCTCGGATGGGCCATTTTCACTTGGTTCGTCTGCTGGCTTTGTACATTCAAGGGTGTTGGCCTGACTGGACGCGCCATCTACGTGACCATGGCACTGCCCCTGGTCATGATCGCCCTGCTGGCTATTCGGTCATTGTCTTTGCCTAATGCCTCGGATGGCTTCAAGCTCTACTTGGGTGTTTGGCGCACCGAATCCATCAGTGGTCCCCAAGTCTGGCAGGACTCCTTTGGTCAGATGTTCTTCTCCATCGGTGTCGGTTTCGGATATTTCGTCTCGTACGCGTCGTACGCCTCCAAGCACTCCAACGCCGTCCAGGATGCGTTTATCATTGCCCTGAGCAACTCCGCCATCGAAATCATCTCTGCGCTCGCGGTCATGGGTGTTGTTGGATTCCTGGGCCTGACGCCTTCCCCAGACGAGCGTCTCTCCACCTTTAGCTCTGGGTTCTTCACCTACCCGACCGCTCTCGCTGAGATGCCTGGTTCCAACTTCTTCTCCGTCATTTTCTTCCTCACACTGTGGCTTCTCGGTGTCACATGCGTCTTCGCACTGTTCGAAGTCATGACGACCATGGTCTGCGACTCTGACTGGGGCAAGAAGTGGCCACGCTGGGCCATTGTCAGCGTCGTCGCCCTCGTATCGTTCTTGATCTCCATCGTTTACACGAGCGAGGTAGGCTTCAACCTGTTGGATGCTGTCGACACGTTTGTGAACGACATTGCACTGTTCTTCACCGTCTTCACCGAGTGTTACTTTGTGACGACCCTCTACCGATGGAGGGATCCTGTCGATCAGATTGGTCCCATCGGATACTGGACCTACAACGGCGGTTATCTACTCTCCAACTTCGTTGGCCTGCTCATTGGCCACCTTGTCAGTCCCGCCGCAGGTGCTGGTGCCGGCTTTGGTCTTTTCATCGTCAGCGCCATCGCCAGTGTGCTGCTCAGCAGGACGCCCACTGTCACCGCTCCTCGCTTTTTCGCCAAGAACGCTTTCCTGAGCCGTTTCTGGTACGCCGCCTTTTACTGTGTAAGTTGTCACTCCTGTCGCTCAAGATGGATCTTAAGCTAATGTTTCTCGCAACAGGGCAACCAATTCCGCCGCGACATCAACCACGCCGTCCTCACAGGCAAGAACTGGAAGCTCCACTGGGCATGGCCTGTCCTCCTCAAGTACATCACGGGTCCCGCCGTCCTGTTGGTCTGGACGTTTGCGTACCCCAAGTTCATTGACAACAACCACTACAATGACCCGCCCTTCCTGTACTCCTTCATCATCATGCACCTTGTTGTTATCTTCATTGTCACGTTCTTCATCTTCCCCAGATGGTTGAACTTCCTCATCCCAGAGACAAGAAGGGGTGATGGCAAGTTTTCGGTCATGCCCCAGGTTGCCATTGGAGAGACACCTATTGTCTCGCGCAACGACGAGGAGGGCTTCGAAGACAGGAGCAGCGCCAGCGGTGGTGTGACTGGCATGCACGCCTCGGGCATGACCCAGGAGAAGAGCGCGGTCTACTAAATGGCATCGATTGCTCGGACGACTGTAGCGTTTGTCTATGAGTCAAACGACCATAGGACTTAATCATATCTTTGCATGTTGCATACATCAAATCAATAGGATATCAATTTGAAAATGAGTCAGTCTCGTTTTTGCATTTTTCTCTGCTCGCGACCTATATCTGACGTTGCCTTTTGACTGTTTGACTGTACTTGGTCCACTCCAAGGGCCACTGCAGGACCATGTCCTGCCAGTGGCTATCCACATCGTTTGGAATTAAGGTTATTGTTGGCCAGATGATTCCCATCCCTGTTCCTTTCTACCGGGACTGTTTAGCCCAGCCACGCACGGTGCGGCAGAAGTAGAACCGTTGGTCTAGCCTCCATTTGACACAATGACCATGGCAACCACAGAGGCCAGATCATTGTGGCTGGGCTCTTCACAATGTTATCTTTGTTCAACAGGAGTATGGCAGATAAAATTAGTCAGCTTCTCATCAACTGCATAGGCGACTATTATGTTCGAGTGCGCCACACCGGAGAAGAGGGGGTGACCTACACCTCACTCAAGGCATCTCCAGCCTGAGGACCGCAATTGAACATGAGCAACGACGGATACTTGGAACATCTCAAAAGCCATGTGTAACTCCCTAGACATTCGGTTTGTCCATATTATGTCGACCCTCAACTCCACCCTTGCCGCTTTGGCCCGACGGGCCTACGGGTATGTCACATCTTTGGCTGGTTGGATCCGGACAGTCTTTGCCTTTGCCTTCACCTTCAGAAGGGGTGCCTGCAACGAGCAGCAAATATCTATTATAGCGAAAGATATCATTTGTCTCATACAGGATAGCGACTGGGCTGGTTTGCGCGGCCGTTTCGTTCCACCTTTGCGGCTGCTACTCACCGAGACCGCGCTGAGGAAAGGATGGCAAGCGATCACTGCCACGACCGGTCCGATTGAGCGGGTTGGGCGACCCTCAATCAATACAACAATGTTCTTACCCACTGCCAGGATTCCGGTGTACTTTTCCCGAGCGAAGTTGGCTGTGGTTCTTCGAATGTGGCCCTCAGGCCGGCTCTTCGGCCTCCAGGTCAGCCCGCTTCTTACAGCCGGCTTTGGTGTCGCCTGGGAATGCCCTTCATATGCCGAGGATGGATACGCAAGAGAGACAGAAATTGAGCTGCGGTCGAAATTAGAAGTTCCGGGGATAGTTTGCCTGCCGAAGCACACTGGTCCCCATGCGTGTGCCGTCTTTCTGGCGGGTTCAGGACCCTGTGACCGAGACTCGAGCATCGGCTCGTTGAAACCCTTCAAAGATCTCGCGCTAGGTCTTGCGCAGGGAGGTATTGTATCCGTACGATTCGACAAAGTCACGTTGAGACACGGCCAGAAGTTCAGGAACCGATCGTCTTTGACAATAGCCGACGAATACTTTGACCAAGCCAATGCTGCTATCGAATATGCGTCTCAGTACCCAGAGATTGACTCGGACCGCATTTTCTTGCTTGGGCACAGTCTCGGTGCCACTATTGCTCCATATCTGGCCCAAGTCGACAACCGAATTCGTGGGATCGTTCTTCTGGCACCACCTGGCGAGGCCGTGTACAAAGCCTACGTCCGACAGCTTCGGTACTTTGCTTCACTGGACAGCGATCTAGTCGAGTCCACACAAGAGCTCATTGCAGACGCCGAGAAGAAATCAGACGCCGCAGACAGACTGGGCCCTGATTCAACTACCGCTCCTCGGGACCTCCCGTTCAGTCTACCAGCCTGCTATTGGAACAGCTGTCGTGAGCTTGACCCCATTGGAACTTGCAAGGCAATGGACAAGCCAATATTATTGCTGCAAGGCTCCCGTGATTATCAAGTGACAGTGGAGGATAATTTCACGGCCTGGAAGAGCCAGCTTCGTTCTAAGCAAGACGTGGCCCTGGGCGTGCTTGAAGACCTTGATCATTGCTTTATTCGAGGAGAGGGTCTATCAATTCCCGCAGACTACGATAAAGCAGGAAACGTGGATGCAACCGCTGTTGATACCATCACCGAGTGGATCATGAGCACCTCTGGTGGTCCACACAGCGGTGCATGAATTTGAGAGTTTCTCTCCGTATGTATCACGGCAAGTGGCTCTCAATGGTCGTTGAGGATTGACCCCAACCTGGTGATACTGTACCTTATTTGATTGAGCCGTCACTTTGAAGTATCGCCGCGATCATACCTCACCATCGCGTGTAAGAGGACTGCAGCACCCAAGGAGCAGTCTTTATCGCTCGTCCACTCCTCCGGGTGATGGCTGATGCCACCTTTGCTTGGCACAAAGACCATGGCCGTGGGAACGTGCTTACTTGTGTTCACGCTGTCGTGCCCAGCGCCGCTCGTCATATCTCGAAATAGTTCGCTGCTTCCTAAGACCCCCGCAGCTGACGTCCGGACTGCGTTGATACACCCTTTGTCGAAATGAACAGCCGGAGAGTGGTAGTCGGTGGCCCATGTGACCTCCATCGGCAAGGTTCTTGTGGAGGGCGGCGTGCAGTCTTCGACATCGCGTCCTTGGGCAATAGCAGCGAAATCCCGCTTCAGTTGCTGCTCGACCTCCGTTACGATAGCATCGGACTTTGAGCGTACGTCGAGGGAGAAGCGGACATGGCTCGGAATGACGTTGACACTCCCTGGCTCAAGCGTCAGGATGCCAGTAGAAGCCAGCGCCCCCGACTTGTTGGCGACAATGTTTGAGTGGTTTATCATGCGGGCTGCCGCCAGGAGCGCATCACCTCTCGTGTCCATCGGAGTAGTGCCAGTGTGTGCGGCTAAGGTGAACGTCAGTCTGATGCCTCGATCAGGCACTTTGAAAGCCTACCTCTGCCCTTGACCTCGACGGTGAACCATTTGTAGGCTTGGGCGCCGTTGACGACACCGATCTTCTGTTGATTGTTCTCAAGGATGGGTCCTTGCTCAATGTGCAGCTCGAAGTGAGCAGCCATCGGCGTTGCTTCAGACGTTGCAGGTCTGGCACCCAGATACCCTATCCTTTCGAGCTCGGATCTCACTGTTACGCCGCTGCCGCCTACGTCTTGTGACGCATAGGCTTTCTCTAGTGGAACGACGCCTGCCCAGACACCTGAGGAAATCATGGTGATCGGGAAGCGAGCACCCTCTTCACTGGGCACGGGGTGTCAGTTCAGCAACGGCTTGTCCTTCAATAGCTTACCTAGTCCAATTGACGAGTCCGATGGGATGGTTCGTCTGAATATCGTTCTCTTGCAGAACCCGCAAGCCCTCAAGTCCGGCCATGACCCCAAGAATGCCATCATAGCGCCCACCAGTTGGCTGCGTATCTAGATGAGACCCAGCGTATATGGGAGGGAGATCTGGATTGGTGCCAGGGCGGACCGCGAAAATATTGCCCATTTCATCTACCGTCACATTGCATCCAAGGCCCTTGGCTTCCTCAACAAACCAATCTCGAACCGTCTTGTCTGCATCTGTGAGCGCGAGGCGTTTCATGCCCGTGTCAGTGACAGCGCTCAGAGATGTCAGCGTGGCGGACGGGACAAATATGAAGCCAGAACAGCCGACGAGACTCACTTCCCCCATCGCTCGCCTTCCCCCCATTGACATGTATCGTGTAGTTGCTGCATCATTCGGTCTCCTCTCACTTTGAGAGAGGCGATGTGGTCCTCCGTCATGCTAGATGTGTGCAGGGCACGCACGGCCATCGCACAGGCCATAGCACGCGGGGACTGCGATGATTGCCGCGAAAGGCGACCTAATCGGCCAGTGATTCGTCTTGTGCGCAGCATTTTGGGAAGGTCGCGTCGGATATACGCTTGTTCAGACCACTATGGCTCGCTCAGACCACTATGGCTCGCTCGAGACTCCAACCTGTGGCTGAGGGGGGAAGAGGGAGGAGTCAGCCATGAGGAGTGAGGATGGCAGCAAATATCGAGTGACGTCAGTAGATGCAGCTCCACGATGCTCAAATGAAGTTACCTCCCAGTCGCCGACGATGTGGTGTACTCATCATGGCTTTGGACAAATGATAACATTACAGAAGCACAAGATTAAATTTCCAGTGTAGTCAAAGATTGCAGAGGGTTTCCAGCGCACCGAGTCGATTCAGGTCACCACCACTTTGCACGAAGCTGGACCGATCAATTGTGTTCGCGGATGCATATGAGGATTTGATGAATCGAGGGCACCCTGATGGAGATGTGATGTACATTTTCCGCTCAAGTCTATAGCTAATATAATGACGTGTCAACCGACGGGAATTTACAGCCATCAAGACCCAATCTTCCGACGTCTTTGAATCCGGACATTGAGTCCTGTTGGCTTCCTTAAGAAGCCCTCGCGAGTCTCCATTACTTCCTGCTCGAGAAACACATCGTACCTCTTGATCCATGTGGCTGCAATAAACTTCATCTGGATCTCGGCCAAGTTTCTTCCCACGCAGGATCGCGGGCCATGGCTGAAGGGGATGAAAGCCTTTTTCATCTCAGGCGTCGGGTTTACCCATCTGCTCGGGTTGAACTGATCCGCATCTTCTCCCCAGATCGACTTATCATGATGGACCGTGTACGTGGGAACACTCAACACCGTCCCAGGACCATAGTGCTGCCCCCGAATCGTGACACCTGCCGAGTTTGGGGGGACTTCTCTTGGGAGGCCTATCCCGGAGGTTGAATGGTGACGGAGGGTTTCGTTAATGACCTGCTCCAGGTACGGAAGGTTCTTCACCTGCTCGTACATGGGCACGTCAGCGCCGTCTGGGACAGCTTCATCAAGCTCCTGCTGCAGCTTGGCCAGGACCCCCTCTGTGTTGACCACGTGGTACAGCAGCGCACACGACGAATTGGAAGTCGTGTCACTGCCCGCAATCAACTGTGTCAGCGCCTCCGCCGTCAGTTCCTCGCGCCCGAGTGGCTGGCCCTCTTCGTCCTTGCCCTGCACAAGTCGCGCAAGCAGATCTTGGCGATTAATGTCGGGGGGGTTCTCGAGTCTGTCAGAGACGCGAGCGATGGCGATACCAGCTAGGCGCTCGACAGCCGCAAGGCCCTTGGAGAAGAATGGGTCTGGCAGGTAGCGTGCATACGGCTTGAGGAAGGGCATGATGCCAAGGGTTGCCGAGACCTCCCCCCGACGGTTGATGATCTCGACGGCGGGAGCGTACAGTGGCGGGCTCGTGGGAGACGTCCTGATCTCAGCCATGTCGGCGCCAGAGGTGAGCATGCCGAAAGGCTTTCCGAATGCCAAGTCGGCTATCGTGTCAAATGCAAGATAGTTGACTGTGCTGGGGGTCAATTTCAGGAGAGGCCGTGAGTGGAAGAGAGGCCAACGTACACCACGACAGACAATCGAGCCGAGCCGAGTGCTGGCTGTGGGGAGATAGTTTAATGAGCTTGTCCCATTGCTTGACAAACTCCTCCAGGTTCTGTCGAAGATATGGCTCGAACTCTGTCACGGACTTGGGCGCAAAGATGTGCGAGACGAGCTTCCTCTTGCGCGTATGCTCAGCGCGGTCTCTAGTGTTGAAGAGGCCGCGACGGATGGACACAAAGGCGTCGTAGAAATCGCTGTGATTGTCATCAGACATGGCAGCCTCGACCTTGATGCGATAGACGTGGCACTCACGATTTGAGGAAGCCATTGCCATGGCCGTAGATGGTGTTGATTGCATCTGCGTCTGCGATGCTGACATGGTTCGGCGCGATGCGAATCACTGGACCCAGTTTCTTGTGCATGTCATGCACAATGGCAAATCTCTTTCCTCTCCTGCACACGGACAACAGCCAGAGGTTTGAGAAGGCGGCCGTGGGAGGTCCAGGGATCCCTCGTAGGTGTGCATTGTCGATGAGATAGGGTGTCACATAGTACAGAGTGACCAGCACAAGAATCGCGAGCACGGCCGCCCATGGCGTCGTGAGAGTACTCAAAAGTGACATGGTGCGATTGTTATCTCCGTCGACCAGTCTCTCCGAGCGTCGTCGCAGATATTCCTTGGTCGGAAGATAGGTCACGCAGTGGGCCACGTAATGATGGACGCCTTTTATTTCTGCGTCGCGGACTTTGTGGCCCTCGGCCCCCTCGACTGGTCCAATCGTCACGGGCCATGATCCCCGCCCACCTCCGCCATGATACAACGAGGCGCTGATCTGGAATCCTGGATGTTCCCCGCGTGTTCCCTCCCCCGCCTCCATGTTCATGTGGAGAGCGGACGACTGCGTAGTAGCAGCTGGGTGGTGCCTTAGACCATGGCTGCGCGAGAAATAATTAGACCTGGGGAGCTCGCAGACGGCTGTTTGCTCCCCCCCCGCTGTTGCGGCTGATGCGGCTGGTGCGGAGGCTGCTTAGCTTCGGCATATCGAGTCGGCTGTGTCCGCCATGGATTCGGCAATGAGCAACGGGTTCAAGTACTTTGGAGTAGTCGTTCATACATACATGTCACATTGCCCCGTGATAAACATGATATAGGTAGGCTCGCGTTTACGTATAAGTAATCGATTCTTGCAACCGAGCGCCCTCTAGACGACGGAATAAATGTGTAAATGAATAATGACGTGCTAGGTCTGCATGTAGGGCGTGGGTAAATATCAAAAGAAGCCATCAAGTATGAGCAAATCACAGTGGCCAAGTTAGACAGCTGGCTTGGATCAAAAGGGCACGGGAATGTTGCGCTCGAGGTACCCGAGCCACCTGGGCAGCCTACGCTTTGAAGGTGCAGCAGTCGAGCGTTGCAAGTCCTCGATGGCACTGGCCCATTTCACCAGCGCGCCCTCCGCCCACGCTGTTTGCATAATACCGAGGCCAAAAGGCATGCCTGAATCAACCGCGTAACCGCCGGGGATCGTGATAACGGGGTAACCTGCCTGCGCGGCGATCTGTGGTGCCTGTCCAACTTGTGCTGGCACGAGGAGTCCAGAGAGCTTCGTTCCGTTGTAGGAGAGGGCGTCGTTGATACCCTGGCGAGTTGAAGACTGGCAAAAGTTCAAAGCTTGCCAGTATGTCTCGTTTCGCACGCCATTTGTTGCGAGGGACGCGAGGAAGCCGTCCTGACCTGACGCGAAGGCGGGAATGCCCTTGCCGTCTGCGTATGGAAAGCCGCCCTCCGAACCATCATTGTCGTAATTATACTGAACAATGTCCGCTAGATTCTTGACGTCCGTATTGTTCACCTCTGACAGGTACGTTTCAATGTTCCGGTAGAAGTCGACCTTGATGTAGGTGTACTCGGATTCGTTGGGATAGCCGCGCGTGGTGCCATAGTCCCAGTTCCAGCCATCGGGCGAGACCAGGGTCTCATAGTTTGTGATTTCCGTGCCGTTGATAATGGTGGCACCAGCAGACTCGATGAGATCCAAGAGGTCGAGAAGTTGACCCTTCATGTCGTCGTCGGCATAGACCCAGAAGCTCTCCCAAGGCAAGCCAAAGACAGCATCTTTCAGGGCTGTCTTGTTGGTCAGATAGGGTGCATAGCCGCGGGGGGGCGTGTTGCCTCTTTGTGCCAGAGTGTAGTTGTCGCGCTTGTCGACTCCGTAGATGGCGTCGAGTACAAGAGTAGCGTCCGTGACGGTGCGAGCAAAGACGCCGACTGAGTCTTGGTGCTCGCTCTCGGGGATAACCCCAGCTCTTGATGTCAGACCAACCGTGGGTTTTATGCCGGCGAGAGCATTCCTGTTGGCCGGGTTGATGACACTGCCGTCGGTCTCGGTGCCAAGCGAGAAGGCAATCGCATTGGCCGCGACGCCCACAGCCGAGCCGGATGAGCTGCCGCCTGGGTTCACGGTGAAATTGTACGAGCTGCGGACCTGGCCACCTCGAGCTGAGTAGCCCTCGGAGTAGTCGTTGCTGCGCATGTCCGCCCACTCACTCAGGGTCGCCTTGCCGAACAGGATAGCACCGCTATCGCGCAGCTTCTTCACCACATGCGCATCGCGGGGAACAAGGTTGGCAAGCATCGCCCAGCTGCCAGCGGTTGTTTCCATGCTGTCCTTGGTGCCAATGTTGTCCTTGACGGTGAAGGGAATGCCATGCAAGGGACCGCAAACGTTGCCTCTTTTGCGCTCCGCATCACGCTGCGCCGCAATGGCGAACACATCAGGGTTCACCTGGAGGACAGAGCTGGTGGGAAGAAGACATCAGCGGTGCCAGGGCTACAGCTAGGACGGTGGTGCACGCTCACTTGATATACTCCTGCGTTTGATATGTCCTTGTGAGGTAGCAGGCAACCAACTCGACTGATGTGAGCTGGCCATCCTCCAGGGCCTGTCGCATGTCGCCAAGCGTAGCCTCCTCAAGCTTGAAGCCTGCACAGTCCGACATGGGGAACAAGTCCTCCGTGCCAGCATTTTCTTGAAGCGGCAGCAGGTTCGGATTGAAGGCGAAGGGAGGATTGGGCTTGTGCGTAGCGCACAGCGCTTGAAAAGCGAGGCCCTGAAGCGCGACCAGCCACAGCTTCCAAGGCATGTTGGTTGCGATAAGTAGGTGGTTGTCGAAAGGTCGAGTAGACTGATGTGGGGGATCGTCGAACTTGAGTACTAGTAGGCAAAGGGGTAAGCGTCCGGTGAAACGTGGGACAAGAGTCACAAGACTTGTATGCTGTGATTCGGATTAAATGCAATCAAAACTTGTTTCTGCACGTGTAGACATCCATCCGCTGGTCCCTGACGCAGTCTACACATGTGGAACACCAGCCCGTCAAGAGCTAAAGTTTGTCTCTCTGGATCATGGAATAAAGAGACGGCTCTCATAGCCAAGTAGACAGTCGCGAGGGATTAGTCAATGGGAGAGAGAAACCCCGCGGCTGAAGAAATCCCATGTCGATCATCGATGTAGGGGGCCGGAAGACAATGTCTGATTGGGCAGCAGAGCCATGAGTGTGGCACACAGCTGAGTCTCCGTAATTAGTACTGCAAGGGATAATGAATAATACGGTGTGCTCCTTGTGACTGGCATCCGAGCCTGCCGAGTGCCGACCAGCAGGATTTAGTCTAGATTGTGGTCCTCGAGCTGTGCACGGATATGGAATGGACTTTGGAATGTGGGAGCAAGCCAAGCAAGACGTTTACGCGTCATGAACAACAATCCTTCCGAGCAGAAATCCACCGTAGGCTGATATTGACTACGGCACATCAATCCTAGCTAGAACTAGACGTTCGCGACGCTGCATGCGGATTTGGTTCAGGCCGAGCAGAATCCTCTCTCACCTGAAAGTCCACGTGCACCAAGATGCCGTCGGCGCTATTGTCACTTTGATTGTCGCCATACTTGTTGCGAGTTCGGAAATTCCCAAAGCCCTGGGCCGATGCTTCGTGTTCGTTTGCCTTCCTGTCGTCTTGTCTTCCATCGTACATGTACGCTGAGCGTAGATTGAGGGAATGCAGGGGTGTGTCGCTCTGCCGACTATGAGACTGATTGGCGTATTTCGACTGGCCCTTGGTGTCTTCATCATCATTGATGTTCCGGCGAAGGACGAACTTGTCGATGAAAGGCTTGACTCCAGGGACGGAGAGGGCGACGAGAGTGGCGCCTATCTCAGTGACCTCGATGGCGAGCATTGGATTGTCTGCCGCGATTATTAGTGTCCCTAGCTCGATGTTGGCGTCTCGAGAATAATCACGTACAAGCCCAGGACATGTCCTCATTCCATTGTCCCACAATCACAAACACCAGCCGGGTGACGGAAATCCCAATAACACTGTCCGTCGTTAGCATCAAACGAACGACGCCTGACCTTGGAGCATAACTCACAGGATTCCTGGTAGGAGAATCGCACCAAGCTGGATTTTCTTCTTGCGCGAGATGTTGAGCATCCTTATCATGAAGACAGGGACACCAAAGAGGAACAGGTCGCAGATGACGGAGACGATCGAGTTCACACTGTACACGACACCCCACTGCAAGCAGTCGTACTTTTCGTGGCCTGGTTGGAAATCATAAGGCCAGAGACCTGTGACGGGTATGCAGTGGAAGATGATCAGGAACAGCTGAGGGATGTAGCCGATGATCATGACCGCAAAGACAATCCTGATAGCCAACACAAATCGCGGATTTCTCGAGGACAGCCGGTGGTAGAATGCCAAGCCAGAGAGTCGGCAGAGCAGCAACGAGGTCGTGTAGATGAGGTGCGCGGCGAAGTCAAGAATCTCTGTCTCCTCCACGGTTTGTATATCGAGGACGTATTGTATGTAGGCAAAATGTCGACCAGATCCCAGCATGATCAGTTTGATACACAACCCAACAAAGGGAATAAATAATATCTGTTAGGCGTCATGTCGGCGGTTAGCCACCGTTCAAAGACATGGAGAGAAAGGGAAAAGGCCATAGTACCCATGATACCACAGTCAGACAATCGTCGAGTCCAAAGCGGCGAAGAAGAAAAGCTCGTGAGAAGAGTCGCAGCGCGACGACGAGAGTGGCGAAAATGGTGACAAAGATGATGCCGGCAATGGCAGGCGCATCTCTGCTTTCGTTCAGATATTCAGCAGTGATTCCGGGAGGAACCATCCCGTCGGCGATCGCTTGATCAACCAAGGGGCCCGACATTCTGACTGCGAAGAAAAGATTCTAGCATGACTGCAGCCATAAGGTAAGTCGTCGCATGCCAGAGCACGAACCAAGAGCGTAGATATATCTCGAAGAAAACCAATGCCGGCGCCGCTCTCGCCCAGGCGTCTAGTGACAAGAGGCGTGTATTCTTCCGAGACTTTCACTAACAAGAAAGGTTTACCGGTGCCTGCCGTCCGGTGCTCTCTGGACTCTGAATGGGCCCCACCTACCGGAGGGATTGTTTCGTGTCAACCTTGTGATGGTGGCCACCATCAGCCGATAGCCGTTGGTCCAGACCTACGGTGTTAAGACGGAGTTTCCGTACACACTGTCCATACAGTACCTGGTCTGGAGGCAGAGAAAGCTCGACCCTGAGAGCTGGTGATTTCTCTCATACGTGTCTATGAAAAGTAAGCGTGATCCAGGACGATGCCGACCTAGCACACTGAGGCCGTCTAGACTCCAGACCTTGGAATGCTGCCTATCCATGTACATTCCAGTCGTCTGCTTACTATCATAGTCAGACGACTATAATATGCGACATAACCTATGTGAGTATTGATGAATATATAGCCCGACCCCATAAAATGTGTTCAAGTGTAGAGTCATTTGGATAAGTGTGTGGAGCCAATTGAACAAAGCTATCTACGTACCCTACTCGGATCTCTCGACACACAATAGCAAAGCCGTTATTTTTCGGCTAAGGAGGCTCACATGTAAGCAGCTACACAACAGCGGATAGTTCTCCCCACCACAAACCTTCAGCTTGGCCGTGGAATAGAGTTTGCCAAGCCAATCCGACAACCTTTGAAGCCGATAGATCGCACCATTACACCAAGTTAAGCGCGCGTGGGTCATGTTGCCGCGGGTATCACTTCTTTTGGGAGCCGTAAGGAGCATGGATCCGAGTTGGCGAATTGGGGCACGTACTCTGTGTTATTGGGCAGGGCTCTGCAGGGCCAAGAATGAACATCACTGCTGCAGATTTTGGCACTTTTAAGTTTTGGGATATGAGTCTGGCGGTTGATAGGTCTCGGAGGATCACGATTCATGAGGGGAAAGATGTAAGACGGCCCATTCTTCTTAGTACCACTCGTACGGGTCAATGTCTAGTTCCTTTTTTGGTCCCTTCGCCTAATAATCACCCGATTTCCAGCACCCGTACCACTCCCATTGGCCATTTGCAGCGAAGGCTGTTAAAGCTTCGGGAAGGCTAGAGAGGGGAGCAGACCAATTAAATAAAATAAAAGCCGTCAAAGGAAAGGTCTAGGCGAGGGTTTTCAAGCCGGCCAAGTCAATGAGGGGGGTCTCTGAGATTCCAGAGTAAGGATGGCAAAACTACCGCAGAGTAAGTAGTCAGGGCATACGGGAATAGACTTTGGTACTAGACTAAATATATGGAGATACCAGACAGGAACGCCAACAACCCACGCACATCGCATGCTAAAAATCAGAACACGTAAACGAAATGAGGATTCGTCTTGTCGGTGACGTCTGGCCCGTCAAGAGATGCGTGTTCTTCCAGAGAGCCCGAAGCCGTGGGCTCCGTCGACAGCAGAGCGACCTTACTCTTGTTGCGGTATCCGTACAAGATCCTCAGCAGTATAGTAACAACGACCGCACCACCGCAGACGCCAAAGACAAGGATCTTGGCGGGTATGTAGTCTGGGGCGTCCGCAGCTCGGAATGTTTGCGGGGCAATGATGTTGGCTATCGAGAAGCCAATGGCCACAATGGCATTGGTCGTGACCCTCTTGGTGTACCCTTGCACATTGGCACCCGCCAGCGCGTAGACGAGGGCAAGAGGCGCGACGTCAAAGTTGATGAGATAGATGCCCGCGAGCGAGTGTGCCTGACTAGCGTTGAAAAAGGACATGAGTGCGGCACCGATCAGTGTCGGTACCATGAGGCAGCAGATGGCGAGCCACCGCGGGAACCTATACAGGATGGCAAAGGTGCCCATGATTGTGGCAAACACAGACACCGCTCCGGATGGCATGTTGAGCAGGGCAGCCTGCTTTGTGGTATACCCAAAGTTGCGAATCAACGTTGCCGAGAACGTGGTGATGATGCCCGACGGGATGACAATGAGGACGGTGTTCACAAACAAAAGCCACACCTGAAGGTCTGAGATGGCTTCCCACATACCGGCAACGTGGAATGTCTTTCTACCGTTGCCACCTTGATCCCGCAAAAGGCTCTCCTGCAAGCTTGCCTTTTCCTCTTCTGTGAGCCATTTGGCGCTGAAAGGCGAGGAGGGCATCCAGAAGGTGACAGTCACGCCAATGAGGAGGTTGAAGGCACCCACCGCGAGAAACATGATGCGCCATGATTCGAAGCCGGACGTCGATCTTCCGGATTGGGCAGCATAGGAGATGAGTCCGCCCATCGTCTGACCCAGGCCGAGACCGCAGTACCAGAGCCCAGTCCGTGGGGTTGCTTGTTGGCGTGTGTACCACTGCGACGTGATCATGATAAGAGCAGGCGTGATGACGGCCTCGAACATGCCGAGCAGAGTTCGGACAGCAGTGGCGCCCGGAAAGTCCTGCACAGCAGCCGTGCCGCAGATGGTGACTCCCCAGAGGATGACGTTGACGCCGAGGACCTTGCTCACAGGGAGTCTCTGAATGAGATATCCTTGGGGGAACTCGGCGATTGCGTAGCCGATGAAAAAGGCCGTGGCCATCCAGGAAAAGTCGTTGTCCCGGAAGCTAAGGGACTCGGAGAAGCCCATGATGTTGGCGTAGTTGACGAGCACTTTATCCAGGAATTGTAAAAAGTAGCACAGAAGCATGAGAGGGACAATGTGGTAGTCCACTTTGCGGACGACGTTCTTGAGGCACAATTCTGAGGAGCCATTCTCAACGCCCGGGGCTGATGTAGACTCCTTGAGGGTCATCTTCTGATCTGTGGTTGGCGAAGACATTGGCGGGAGTGAGATCTGTGTGAGACTGGAACATCAGCGCCTATTTGATGACAGTAGAGGAGGTAGGTCGCTCGTGCGGGATCCTTACATATGTTCGCTTGTCGCTGGTCAAGCCGTTTGTTGGATCTCATGTAGGAAATAAGAAAAGGACATGGTTTTGCTTATATCGCCTCGTCTGTGATCTGAAGTGCTTTGGTGCGTCACGGTGAAGCAGGGTCACCGATAAGGACCCAGGATTCCAGCCTCCAATCTTGAGACCTCAACGGAGCCGTCGCGTGTCAGCTTGGCAATTCAATCAGAGTCGTGAGAAAGATAGGCGCATGGCACAGCTACGGCGTCGTTCGATGCGACGAGCCGCAGCCTACAGACGAGGTCTGGAATCGTTTGCTCTGGAAGAAGGTCTGCGACAGTATTCCACATTATGGTTGTCGCGCTCAGAGGAGCGGCGCCACCGAGGCTTCCATCATCCGCGTCCCTTGCGACGCCGTCGGAAATGAGGATGCCCATGTCTAAGCTAGACTCGTTGCGGTCATTCTTCAGCCACAGATAACGGCACTCGCCACCTCGCTATCCGGGAGTTTGCGCCTCTAGACGGCGGCATTGCATAAAGCATGTATTCATTATGCGGGCTTCCGGTCACCCGACAGATCCCCGTCGCTTCGGTGAAGCTGCGCGCAATCGAGACTATCCACTCGCCGCTCCCAAGCGCCTAAGTGAGCGAGCAGTAATGTGTCCCTTTGCGCGTCCAGTGACTGTCCGTTGACGATGGTCCGCGCTTCGTGCGGGTTGGCATGCCGTGCAGCGCACTCGCGGACTTGTCCGTCAGAGTATTGCTTATTTTACCTGCCACTGTTCTCAATGCGCTGCCTTCCGCACAAGGAGGCCAGGATAAACAAGACCACATCAACTCACTGCCTGTTCGGGTTCAATTGGAGACAAACCTTGTACTCGGATTCACACGCTCGCCACTTCCAGACACCATCATGCCGAGCAAAACTCAGCCCAACACCAAACTGTCCGTGGCAATCATCGGCTCCGGCCTGGGTGGCCTATCGGCGGCCATTTCCCTTCGTCGGGCAGGCCACCAAGTCGTCCTATACGAGCGATATGACTTTGGCGGCGAAGTGGGCGCCTCTCTGTCCGTGGCATCCAACGGGTCACGCTTCTTGGAAGAATGGAACATTGACATCGCAGCCGCCAAGCCAGTCGTTCTTCGGAAGCTGATTCGCCATGATTGGAAGACGGGTGAGATCCAAGGCACGTATCCGCTGGGAGACTATCGCGAACGATTCGGCACCGACTACAACAACTTTCACCGCATAGACCTGCATCAGCATCTGAAGCACGCTGCCACCTCCCAGCTGGGCGAGGGTGTGCCGGCTGAGCTGAAGACGTGGCACAAGGCTGTGGACGTGGATCCTGAGCTTGGGCGCATCAAGTTCGAGAACGGCAACGAGGCAGTCCACGACATTATCATTTGTGCCGATGGCATTCGCAGTGCCATGCGTGAGCGCATTGGTGTCTTGCCCCGGATCCAGGCCAGCACATCTTGCTGCTACCGCTGCATCATTTCGGCCGACAAGCTGCGCGAGCTTGGCCTCGACGAGTACCTCAGCAACTATGCGATTGAGTTCTGGGGCGGCGACGGCATTGACAAAATTGTTCTCTCCTCATGCAGCGACAACAATGTCGTCTCCTGCTACTGCTTCTACCCTGCCAGCAAGAATGACCTTCGAGAAGATGGCTGGGACATTTCGACCACGGGAGAGAATCTGGTGGCCACGTTTCCCGATCTCGATGAGAAGCTCAAGACACTGTTCCTGAATGCCGAGGACATCAAGATGTGGCGGTTGTACAACCATGACCCGTATGAGTACTGGGTTCGCGGTCGCTGTGCTCTCCTTGGCGATGCCGCTCATCCAATGCTGCCCGATCAAAGCCAGGGAGCTTGCATGGCGATCGAGGACGCGGGCGCTCTCGGCATCATCTTCTCGGATCAATATAGTCATCTGAGTATTGGAGAGCGGCTCAAGCTGTACGAGATGGAGCGCAAGCCACGGGCCACGCAGCTTCAAGAGGCTAGTCGAAGAGCACGCCTTGACCTGAATGAGCGTATCGGGTGGTCAAGCAAAGCAGACAAGCCTGGGAAACTGACAATAGAGGAGGTATGCGGGTATGACATGCACCAACATGTGGCTGCCTTGGTCGCAGAGTTGTGATTTCATCAATAGAAACGTGAATATTCACTCTGATGTACTTTGTCGCTCAGAAAATCACAAGGCCGCTCATCTCTTCGAACCTCATTCTCGCCCAATTGACAATCGCCCCTGTCCCCTCCAAAGCATCCCTTTGCTCCCAAACCTTCTCCACAAGATCCCTCGCGCAGTACACATACCCGAACCCGTACGTTCTCTCCATGACCATGAGACGATCCTGTATGATGATCCTCTGCTCCAGGCCCCCACATGCACCGCCGGCCATGACCAAGGGGAAAAGCAGGCAGCCCTCCAGCGGGCTACCATACCTGATCTCCTGCACGGCCCCGAGTATCCTGTCGACGCAGCGCGGGACGAAATCGTGTGAAAGCTTGTAGCCATCCCTGATCTGATGAAGCCGGAGTCGGAGGGCCCATTCGTAGGCAATGGTTGCTTGGAGGGTGTCGTGGTCGGGTCGCGAGAGGGAGGTGAGGTTGGCGACGGCCTGGGAGAGACCACCGTACTCGAAGCTCCAGTGATCCAACAAGTCCTCTGTCAGCGCCGTCTCCTGAAGGAAGCTGTCCTCTGACTGCGCGTCTATCCTGGTCTTGCGCTTCTGGGCGAGGTTGTTGATCTTGTCGACTAGATGGAACAGTGCTTTGGGCACACCGTACACGGCGGTGTCGTGGTTGCTCAGACGAGAGCTCAGTCTGCTCAGAAATGCAGCATTTGTGTCGTTTTTTTGCATCACCGGTGGAGCGCATGTGCTGGTCGTGGTCGCACTGTCAAGAAAGCGAGCCAGGTCAACGAGGAAGGCGTATTCAGAGGCTAGGTCCGTCACATCGGCCGTGGCTCTAGCAGCCATGAGGCGCTTGGCGCCCTCGAGATGATGTTTCCACCCGGACGACTGGCCGTCCAGGATCTCATTCAGACACAGCAGGAGACATGCCGCCAAGGCAACGTCCGTTGTCTGTTGGCTGGTGGTGGAGAGCATGCCAGCCAGCGCCTGTGTGGCCTTGGCCTGGTGCACGAGTCCGCGCTCGCTCAGACGTGGCTGCGTTCGCTTCCAATGTGAGCCACTCAAAGCCAGTACACAGTGACGGATAGTGTCATCCGACACAGCCATTGGTAAGATGTGGAGGATGTAGGGGTTGGAAACATTTGACTGGGACGTTCGGCAGAGCGTATTAGCGACGACAGCTGAATAGTGGTTGAACAAGGCTTTGTCGTCTGCGGACGTTAAGTTTGGCATGAGACTTGGGATATAGAGATTCAGAGATCCCTGATCGGGCGAGGTCGCAGAGAACACCACAGATTCGGCTGCCGAGCCCCCAAGGGATGTGGCTGTACCGGACGCTGTTGAGTCCGTGGTGAGGTCCCACTGAACGTCAATTGGTGACAGACTGAAGTCGAAGAGGATGTCGTCAGCCCAGGGGTTTTGCATGACGCCGCCATCACTCGCTATCGCGCCGTTGTTTGTAGATCCGAGCCCTGAAAGCTGTGCGAGCGCCGAGCCCCCATCGCAGAGTGTCTCTGTGCACTCAAAGCCGTCCATGGCCGAGGAAGCTGTTTGGAGTAATGGGAAACTGCCGTCGCGTTCCATTCCATCCGCGTCTCTCCGACGGTCTGAAGGCCACACACAGTCGAGCTGCAATCTGACACAATCGCCACAGCGAGGCTTCTGCTCATCACACTTCTTCTTTCGCTTCTTGCACCTGAGGCATCCAGTCTGCACCCGCCGAATCCGTGCTTTTGGTGGTGTTGGTGTGAGGCCGTCTTGGTCATGGGCTGTTGTCACCGAAAGGTTGTTGTGCTTTGAAGACCGAGGCTCGCATGGGACACTGAGTCGCGCACATCGGGAGCATGGTGTTTTACCGTCACAGACTTGTTTGATCTTAGCGCACCTAATGCAGACGTTTGACTGCGTCCACCTGGGCGAGGACATGATGCGGCCCGTGGTATATGTGGTCAGCGCGGCCAAGCGTGCAATGGACGTAGGATGGAGGGGATGAGACGGACAGGACAGACGCGTCCCTGCATTTTACGATACCTCTCAGGCTTATCAACGCCAGCTGAGAATGCGGGGAAAGTGGATTGCCACCTATCTTCAACGTGGAAACCCGTTATCTTGATCCACAGCCGCGCCTTGGTAGCGTCGGTGAACCGCACTTTGTGGCTGGGCCACGCCGCCACGGTATCCGGAGAGACACGATCACCTTTCACCACGGGCAAGTGATCCCAGTTAGGTCGCTTGGAGCATTCATACACTACCACACGATCTACCAAACTGCCCAGATGATTCTGTGTGCAGGCTTCAGCTATCATACAGAGCGTGGCCGATGGCCCTTGCTGACTGGTCTATGAATTCACTGGCCTGCCACAAGTCCTTGTCCATGTGCATGAAGGGGTGAGGCACTCCAGGGAACCTCTTCATCGTGACCTGCACTCCATTCTCGATCAGTTTCCTCCCGTAAGCCTCCCCTTCGTCGCAAAGGGGGTCCGCACCGGCCGTGAATATCACAGTCGGAGCCATGTCGGCAAAGTTGTCTGCCACGAGGAGGTTGGCAAAGAGACCAGGCATGTGCTTTCTCTTCTCTGCAATCTCCTCGGGCGTTGAGCCGAGCGAACTCCATTTCAGTTTGTCAAACCACACTAGACGGCCCCAGTTGAGTGTCGGCGCATGCTCGTTTCGCTGCATTGACGCAAAGGGAGAATCTGCCGCTGTCTGATACTGGCTGATGTCGTCAATAACCGGGGTGCCTACTGCTACCAAGCGAAGGGGTATGCCAGCATCGCGTGCTAAATGCCCTAAAGCGAGACTGATGAATCCGCCTGCCGATACGCCGCCCACGGATAACTTGTCCGTCATGATGTTGAATTCTTGAGCGCCTTTTTCGAAGATGTACATGAGTGCAGCAAAGCTGTCGGTGATGCCGCACGGAAAGGCATTTTCAGGGACTAAACGATAAGCCACGTCGACCACAATCACATTGGCTTTTTTGCAGATGTGTTTGCAGATGTGACTTTCGGTGTCAAGGTCCCCCAATCCCCAGCCACCACCGTGAAAGTCCAAATGAGCAGGCCAAGGCCCAGAACCCTCAGGCTCATATACTCGCAATTTCAATGTGAGCCCCTCTTGCGTGGTGATTTCCGAGTCATAGATACGTCCAACATCGGGTGCAGGCCCAGTGCCGTACGAGTAAAGGACCGAGTACTTTGTTCTGAGAATATCCAAGTCGATCGGTTTCAGTGGCGTGTTGGCGACGTTGTTGTTGTACAGCTTCTCAAACACCGGGTCGAGCTTGCCGGCCATGGATGGGTGAATAGGCTGAAGGGCCTCGTGCTTTTGTTGATCCGACATGGCGCAATGCTTGTCGCTGAACGAAGGCTGGGTGAAGGATTGGTAGTGTCGTGATGATCAATTGAATGACTGCTGCAGATAGAAACCCAACGAGGGCATCGAAAACAGGATAAGTGATGACCGAGTGAGTCCGAATGACGGAATCCAAGGCAGAGACGGGGCAGTGGCGTCGTCTTTTGCCCAAAGGGCGTCAGCTGATGAAGGCGCAGGCCGCGAGGATGTCGGGCATCCATGAATCAACCAACCGTCGCATCGCGTGTTCCCCGCGCCCGCGGATGCCCCGAGGCGAGCGGCGGACCGAGCAACGTGCATCCATAGCGGCCAATACGGACGTACAACGTGAAGCGACCCTAGCGTGCCTACCGATCCGACGGTCTGGAGTCGTTGGGCCAATAGTTGAGGGCATTCGGCGCGGCGCGGCAATGCTGGCAATCAGGGCCCACGGCCCCCAAGGGTCCATACTGCGATAAGCCGAGTCATATTAAGGATACAGCGCTCTGCAGCAAGTGATGAATGCAAGACCACTTCAGCCTCTGGGATAGCTCGCGAAGCAGAAGGCGCAATGACAATGGACAAACCTGTGCTAATTATTGGCGCGGGCGTTTGCGGCTTGACTTTGGCTCAGGCCCTGCAAAGGGTGAGTTCTGCCCCAGGTGTACAATTGCACATGCTTCGAGAATCAATTAGGCTGACAATCACCCAGTCCGGCATTCCCTTTGAGGTTTTTGAGCGCGATGAGCACGTTTCCTCACGGGGCCAAGGTTGGGCGATAACTCTGCACTGGGCACTCCCATATCTCAAAAAGATGTTTTCCGAGCAGACGATGACGGACATTGATTCCGTGCAGGTGGATCCTGATGCGGACCGCGACGGCCAAGGCAAATTTGTCTTTATCAATCTCAAAACTCTCGAACCTCGTTTTCGAATCCCGCCGAGCCAGCGACGGAGGGTCAGTCGAGAAAAATTACGACGCGTCCTGCTGCATGGCGTATCACACAAAGTGAACTGGAACAAATCGCTGTCCAGCATATCGCAGACACCAGATGGAGTGGTGGCAACCTTTGAGGATGGTAGCCAATTTGAAGGAAGCATAGTCGTGGGAGCGGATGGAACGAATTCGAAAACACGCAAAATTCTCGTCCCAGACAATCATAAAAACATCAGACTGCCGGTCAAGTTCGTGGGATCGGCTGTGAAGATGACCAGCAGCCAGGTGCAGCCGCTCCGTGCCGTGGATCCTCTCTTGTTCCAAGGCTGTCACCCCGAGACAAAAGACTTTCTTTGGGTGAGCATGCTCGACACTCCCGGCGTCAATGGCACCAAGGACACTGAGGAGGAGTTGTATCAAGTGCAAATCAATCTCTCGTGGCTGACACATCCTGGGGATGACGACACCAAATTGAGCGATGCGGCACGGTTAGCTGATATGAAGCGCCGTGCACAGAGATTCCATCCTGTGCTGCGCGATGCCGTGCAGTCTATACCCGAGGAATCGCAAGTGCTTGAGATTGTCCTTCAGGACTGGCCCTGCTACGACTGGAACAATCGAGGTGGCAGAGTTACCCTGATTGGCGATGCTGCGCACGCAATGACAATGTATCGTGGAGAGGCAGCGAACCACGGCATGCTAGATGCTTGCAGACTCTGGGAGACTCTGGAAGGAGTGTACAGTCGAGAGGTTGATTTACGAAAGGAGATTGATGGGTTCGAGGCGGAGATGAGGGAGAGAACTCAAGCGGCCGTGCTCCTGAGCCGACAGGCCTGCTATGATGCACATGACTGGGCAGGACTCAATGAGAACTCGGCTGTCCTTAAGAAGCGAGCTATATATGAAGCTCGCACTTGATTGGAAATGAACGATAAACAAAGCGTTGACTTGGAAAGCTTGTGCAATGACAACAAACATAACATGTCATGACCGCCTGTTTTTGATTGTGCTAAGGGCTGACTTGAGATTCTTTAACGGGATATGAAGTCTGATGGGATGAAACTACCTATATAACTAACTCTATGAACTCTTTCCAATGCCACTGAGTGCTGTACAGCACGTACGTAACTGCATTCCTTGGATGAAACAGTCATGGTGTAGGGTAGGGAAGGCCGGTACGCGTTTCCACGTTAGAGTGCGCGGCACACGACAGAATAAGCAAATGCCCGGCTATATGGTGCCTTGAGTGACCTGGATTTAATTCCTAAATCCTCAAGTTGCAACCGTCATGGTACTCCTTCCATATTCAATACTGGGTGACGCTACCTGCCGTCTGACCGTGCGTCACATGGGCGTAGGGTAGGCATATCGTTACTTACCAGTCGCGCTCCAGCCTCATACGCCTGGTTGACCTTTACCTGATCAAACGCGTCGCATTTTCTTCTACTGCCGCCGTATGTAAGCAGCGATGAGCTCCGCCGCAAATTTTCCCAGTTTGCGCGAGCGCTGCATCTTCTCCCAGATCACGATCACCTGAATCTTGTTGCCGATTCAGTGTATATCGATGTTTATAGGATTGGGTTAATCTCATGACTTGAAGCGATCGAAGGGTTTAGCATATCACTGAATCACCCCCCTAAACCCACGACAGATACTAGCTACGCTACATCCGCTGTGCCGGACCGGAAGCCTCTGCTTTCGAAACCGGTGTCTCAGAAGACTAAACCCAAATCGTACGCGAATGCGCCGAATTTTCCACTGGTGGCATGTTCCGCTGTGGCGACGGCTGTGTCGTCGTCCAGATAGAGGACAGACCCCTTGCTCCTGACCCTGGGGCCCAGGCTACCCAGCAAGACGTCCCTGAGTGAAGGAGCAAGATCGAACGTTGAGAAATCGTTTCTGGTTCAGATGAGAGACAAACATGCTTAACTGTCGATTGCTACAACTGCAGTGAGGGCGGTGTTGTGGACAATCCGACGGTGGTTCCGGATGAAAGCAGTGCGTAGCAAAAAAGGCCTGAACATCTATCTTTGCAATTCCCTAAATCTTCTCAACTATGGCCAATTGATATTCCTCATATTATCCTCTCGCTATTATATTACGTATGGCTGCGACAAGGCTCAGAAGTCGGCAGCTGCGATGGCCACCCCATCAACAAGATCAAGTCATGCCATTTTTCTCTGCTTCCTTTGTCACTCCGTCTCTTCATTTGTAAGTTGTAATTGTTTGATGACTCATGCCTAGTCAACCTCAGGTCTTTTTCTCACATAATCTCAAGTGGCAATAGAGATTTGTGACACAAAACCATCATGACTAAGGCATACACCATAAGACTTGAAGTTGTTGGCCAAAGTTTTACTGTATTTCAAACGAGTGTCGTTCTAATCGTATACGTAGCGATTCCACATCCCCTTCGTCTGAGACATAGTGCCCCTACTACTTCGGATCCGAAACAGTTCTCTTCACATCCTCGTGACTTGGCGTTTAGCAGTTGTAGCAGGTGCAGATGTTGTTGCTGGCGCAGTAACCGCCGCAACCAGTCTGGAAGATGCACTTGAGTTTGGTTAGCATGAGGGTGCCTACATTCTCTACCAGGTGAGGGAATCAACATACCGAGGCGTAGCAAGCCTGATCGCCTAGGAAGGTGCAGGTGGTACCGCCGGGCTGGCGCTTCTCAACCTCGGCCTCGGCAGCCTGGGCGGCCTCTACCTTGTCGAGGGCCTCCTGAAAGTAGGTGTGCAGCCGGTCGAGATCGGGGGACTCGGGAAGGACGGTGTCAGGGGCAGGAGCGGCGCTGGAGAGAGCGGCGGAGGCGAGGAAGGCGGTGACAGTGGCGGCGAAGAACTTCATTTTGATGATTTGCTTGAGGGTGTTTGGATCTTAGGGAGGTGGTGAAAGTATTGTGGGTTGTGAGTGTGTTGAGCAGAAAACAGACTGGTCAGACGGGAGGGCACCGGGGTTTATATACTTGTTGGATAACACGTTCAAGTGTCTTCTGTGGTATAAGAGGAGCTTGTGGGGTTGAACGACTGCTTGGAGGCATCAATGGCCAAGGCGTTCGGATACCTTCCCTGGTGGCGATCGCAATGTCGACGTGGATCCACTGCCATGTTTCGAGGAGCGTGGTTGAACGGACCTGGCGTACTTGCAAGTTAGAGCCTTTGCTCTGAAGCTTCTTTCCCACATCGGGAGAGATTCTGACGAACGCTCTGCCAATATTGACCTATCCTCGGTACGATTCTGGGCTCTACGGTACTGCACTATCCTGGGATGAGGAGGTTCGGGCAGACTGATCAGTCAAAGAGAAGCCTGTACTTGACGCCGGACTGCACAGAAAGTCGACTCAACTTAGGTAGAGTAGAGCTCTCGTCTGGGGGACAAGAAGGAGCTATCGTCATAGCGCAACGCACAAGGCCGCGTCACCTGGTCGCCGAGCGGCCTGAAGGGACTGACCTGCCGGGCTTGGAAAGGGGACGGAGGTAGACGAAGTGGACAGTGTTCTCGCAGTCGTGGCACCAATTCGGCTGAGAGTGCGAAGAGATTGGGAGCAGACTGGTGCAGATGGACTGAATAGCGCAGGGATACTCGCAACGATTACGTTGGAAACACGGCAGCATGCAGATCATTCAGCAGTGCTACGGGGTATTCTCCGAGAGCGGCAATAGCAAATTCGTAAGTTGCAGAGCAGATCAACCCACGATGGTGCACCATTGTCCTATCATAATGCCACAAGACTTCACGGGCTCGTCGGGAGCTCCACGGCCGCGATGGTCCGAGACTATGTCCTAGCGCCGGAGGTGATGTGATGCGCCTACAAGCGATCGGCCAGAAACAAGAGCAGCCGGTCCTGGAGGCTGAAACACGAGGATCATGATATGAATTTAGAAGGTAGACACAAAATCTCTGACTCGGTGGCTTGCGGGGAACGCAGTACCGGAGCTTGGCAGCGGCAATGGCCGTCTACAGTGTACACCAACCCCACTCCCACCTCGCTTCGGACGGTACGTGTACCTGTACCGCATGCCAAGCGCATGCAAGAGAGAGATCCGCCGGCTTTTTAAGGTTGAATAGGACTTGTCGATTGGTTGGCTGGATACGCACTGCAGAGGCCACATCACCCTCGCACTGCAGTCCCGTCGTGGAAAAGATCTTCTCGTCCATCTGCACGTGGCTACAGGCCCCCGGGGCATTGGACTGGCCTGGCCACCCGCCAACCCTAGACCAGACGACACGCCATGTTTGGTGCGTCGGCACAATCGCTTCAATGGTACTCCTCAGACATTGGGACTTGAGCCAAGAGGGCCGACTGCCAGGGCGTTTTAGCCCAGCCACGTACATGCTGAGAAACTTGCCGGGCGAGAGCTGCCAGGTGGAGCCAAGGGGATACAGCGTGGAGGCCCCTGTCTAGTTAGGCTCTGGCGATCAACCGTAACCCTACATATAGTATATCTGTTCCGCTGCGGGGCGATCGGCGGTTCAGAGATTCTTAGGGCTCTCCGGAACAGGGGTTTGAGTAGGCCTGCCGAGAGGAAAGCCACCACCAATGTTCCGATATTGCGTGCAAGGGCACTCTACGCATGCGAGACACGACGCCACCTCATCACACGCTACCCGACTATGTACAGGAAATCACCATGGTTTGTCCGAAAGTGTGCCTGAGCAAGTTCTTGAGACTCGGGGTGGAGAAAGAGTCCACAGTGAAACACGTCAAGTTTATCAACGATTGCACGATGAAGTTACAAACTGGTCTTCCTCCGTATCGCGATGGGCCTCGTGGCGCTAAGCCCGGCTCGAGCTGTTGCCCAGAATATTCTCCCCCTCCCGTTTCCTTTATCCGCCAGAACATAACAAGGGCAAGGAAGAAGTCTACCCAGTAATTGTCTCCTCTGGGAAGCTGCAACAATGTATCCCCGAATGTCCTCGCTCTTGGTCGCGCTCCCCTTCCTATCACGGGTGTCACCCACACCCTCCCCTGCCGACACACTCACCAACCATGACCTTCGCAATATCCCCTCCCCAGGTGACGATTTTGACGTCGAGACGGGCTCACTCCTCGCACCGATCCTCGTCCCCCGCGGCCCCGGCACAGAGGGATCTCACAAGGTCCAGCGTCATCTTGTCGACTTCTTCACCGCCAATCTCCCATCATGGGTAATTTCGAGTGAGAACAGCACAAGCAGGACGCCAGCGACCGGAGAGCGGGAGGTGCCGTTCTCAAACTGGATCTTTCGGCGCGACCCGCCCTGGGCGGATGTGGGGAGCGTCACACGTCTCACGTTCGCTGCGCACTTTGATAGTCTGATGGAGCCCCAAGGTTTCGTCGGGGCGGTCGACAGCGCGGCATCGTGTGCTATGCTGTTGCATCTTGCGAGGAGCATCGATGCGGCGCTGGGTGCCAAGTGGGCGGCCATGGAGGAGAATGGCGTCGACACCTTGAGGGATACCCAAGGTGTGCAAATCATCTTTTTTGATGGCGAGGAGGCGTTTGCCGAGTGGTCCGACGCCGACTCATTATACGGGTCAAGGTACGCTCCCGCTCAGCAAGTCTATCAAGAATCAGAGGATCTACATTTCAGGGCTGACAAGATCCAGGTCACTGGCCAAAGAGTGGGAATCCACAAAGTACGGCGTGCTGTCGTTGTACCGATCCCCCCTCCAAGCCATCGACATCTTCGTTCTCCTTGATCTGCTCGGCGCGCCGTCCCCCAGCGTCCCCTCGTACTACCTGCCTACACACTGGGCATACCAGAAGATGGCTGCCCTCGAGCGCCGTATGCGCGCCCTCTCCCTGCTCGAGTCGTCCCCACGGCGCCCCTTTCTTCCCGATAGCAAAAGGGACGCTACCTCGTTTGCAAGGGGCTTTCTCATTGAGGATGACCACATGCCCTTTATGCGGCGGGGCGTGGACGTGCTGCATGTGATGCCAAATATGTACCCCCGGGTGTGGCACACAATGGAAGACAATGGGGAGCACCTTGACCTTGACACGTGTAGGGACTGGAGCCGAATTGTGACTGCTTTTGCTATGGAATGGCTCGGGTTGGGAGAGTATCTACCGGGGCGTGTGTAGAATATATAACACTAACAAAGAACATCATAAGGGAAGGTGGCCTGAATGGAGTCTGCTACACGTCAATTGTGTACACTAACCTAGATATATGCCCTGGACGAGTATGAAAGGTGAAGCTCGGTGCGACCCTTTGGGCTCTGTAGACTACCTCCGACATACTCGTCTCTTCGATCAGCATCTGCAGGCCAATGGCCCATACCTAATCGTGTGACCGGCACAGGAGCTCTTATCGCCTTAAAAGCCTCTGATTAACAAACGGGCCTGATCGGCGGTAGGCGGGTTCGATTTGGCTGCTGAAATTTGTTACTTTGGTGGGGTTGTCACAGCTGATTTGTGGACATGTTTCCGGTTGCATTGACGCTAAGGCCAATCTTGACTGCAACTTGGCGTGCAAAAGAAAACACACTGTGATCGGGATCCTCGGCAACAAGAACACAATGGACCAGTCATTTTGGATGCGGCGTCGAAAGTGCACAACGCAGCTGACTGGTCGGTATTTGTCCAGCCGCGGTGATCCTACATGAGAAGCTGTTGCCGAGCTCCAGCGTCGTCCTGTTGATCCTTCCAGTTGATTGTTCTAAACCGACTGTGGAGATCTGATCTGCCCGTCCTCGGTGATGTAACATTCCGCTAAAAAATTGGAAATGGCGAGGGCCCACTTACCGCTGTCAACGGACGGGTCGATGATACAGCTCTTGTCGTGCGCCGATCACTTGCCGTTTCGGGGCCATAGGAGGCCATCTAAATGTGGCCCTTGTGCAGCCAGAAACTCAAATGAGACCTGTCAAGCCCCAAGGCATATCTGCTGTCCCAGTTTCCCAATAGAATCCTCCATGCTGATCAACAATCGTCAGTCGTATCACATTCCGAGGACACTTTGCCCGTAGAGGGTCAGAGGAGAGACACGACGAAAGGATGTCTCCCGACCATTCCTATTGACGACATAGCTACTAGAGTGGTTGGAATTCTTGGGGCCGTCAGCCGTATCACATTCCAAGGACAATTTATTTTTAGAGGGTCTAAAGTGAGACACGCCGAAGCGTTTCTCCCGATCGTCAAATCGATATCATAGATACTAGAGTGGACGTCACAGACACGGAATCATTGTCTAGAGCGAGCAAAGGCTACCAACGAGCTGTGAATACAACGGGCAGTCTGCGGCCGTGATCTGCCAGCTGTATGGGCGGGGTTTGTCCCCTCAACCACCGACGAGGAAAGTAAAAAGAGCTTAGGCTGAAGCATAAGTGCGAGCTGAAAGAGATCTGTGGAAGGAAACAGTACGCACAATGGCGTTGCGCCGAAGATCACAACGGTAAATGTGAATCATTGGAATGCGAGTCAACATGCTCGAGCAGCTGTTGAAGTCTGTAAAGGCGTATGATCACTATATAACTAGATGGGAGCTGCAGTAGATGAAAGATGTGTTTCCTCTGTCTCTCAACTTGAGCTTCCATCGATCCGATCTACATGCTGCTTGCTGTCCTTGCACAAACTCACCAACAATTACGATTACTGACCTCTGGACGCTCAGAGAGTAAAACTTCTGCTCTCAGATACTGCTGCGCTGTGCCAAACAAGAGCAAACAACCACAACACATTCTTACCCCCGAACCGAGCCACAGCCTCGACCAGCCTTCGAACCGTCACCTGTAACAATACCACAACATCTCCTGAGCCATCAAGGACTTTGGGAACCTAAAGAGAAGAGAGTAACTTTAACATCTCCTTCGACGCTCGCAGGAGGCTCAACTCCCGAAATATCCTCAAGAGTGTCAACTCCAAACAATACGATTATAAAGGCCTCAAACCTCACAAGACATATCTCCAAAAGAGTCACCACCTACCACCACCACGATGCCCGCCCTCGTCTCCCATCGTCACTACTCTTTCGGAGCCCCCCGGTCCCCCAGTTCCCGCCGCCAATCCAGCCACCTCGAGCACCACCAGACCCTCTCCAATGGCGGCATGGCCCAGTCTATCTCCTCCCTCAAGATGACACCGAGACGATTCAGCAAGCGGCCCGCCACCAACATCACCAACGTGGTCTCCACCATCAAGAGCCGCAGCAATGATGAGCTGGGCCCCGGTGTGTCGCCCCAGATCTTCGGTACTTCGTACTCCTCTATGTTGGAATGGTTCAGCACTCAGCGCATGGCTCTTCTTCCTCCCGAGGGGAGTGATTATGATAAGGTGTTGGCTTGGGCGCATCTTTTCGTGGAGAGGTTAAACTCGTTTGATCTTGCCATCGAAGAATTTGCAGGCGACAGTTATCTTGCGACCCAACTAGCGTATGGCTATTGTGCTATGCTTCTCGAGGTATGCTTGTCTCCCCGCGCTTAGCACTCCGCAACTCTTATACTGACGAGCTGTTCTAGCTTGGACAAGAGAACGCTTCCGCACTCACCATATCCTTCGGTTTCTTCCACAGCGTATCCATGCCATTCCTCAACCTTCTCGAACGAGCAGAACTCTTCAACGCCAACCACGAGATTCGCGAGCAGCTAGTCCTCGCTCTCGGGGATCTCGTCAGCCTCGTTGCCAGCATCTCTACCCACTTCCACAAGGCCGTCCATGGCTTGCACGGATCCTCTGTTTCAATTGACATCTATCGCGTGTTCTCGAATCAGATTGACACGTTCCGGCAGCGCTGTGAGAAGGTCTCTGTGTTGCTGTGGGGGCAGCAGCTGCTCAAGGAGAATGTGCCTCCCGGTAAAGGTAAAGTCCCCTGAACTCGACTTCATCGGACTATGCTAACATTGGCGCTCGCAGTGGATGAAATCGGCCTGATAAAATCATGGCTCTCCCCTGACGATGCCGTGGTCGCTCGAGTCGCAGACAGTGCCTCTCATCTCGCCCACGACCGTCAGGAGCTGACCTGCCTGTGGATGGGGCCAAGACTGACTCGATTCTTGTCCAGCCCGGCAAAGACCCTTTCTCTAGCAGGTAAGCCTGGGTCGGGCAAGACGGTGTTGGCCTCGGTCGTCGTTGATCATCTACAACACCCCATTGGTGGCGTATTTTACAGCACTTTGTACATCCCTATCAGTAAGTTCTTGAACTGTTGTATCTGTGATCTGAGAGCAACACTAACGGCATTAATCAGATGCCAGGATCCCAGCTGGAACAACTTCCCATGCCATCGCTAGCACAATCCTCTTCCAGCTGCTCGGCAAGCGTATCGGCAACGTCCAACTCTACCAGATGCTGAGTGACGCCTATAAGCGCAGCAAACTGATCACCAGCGCTGCCGAGTACGACGGGCTCCTTTGGAATACCGTCGAGGCAGCGCTCGGGGTCTCCGTCCAAGGTGCCAGCGAGCTCGTCATTGTCGTCGACGGCCTCGATGAGTCATCTTGTGGCGAGAAGACCCTCATGAACAACCTGGTGTCAGTGACCCGCGATGCTCCTAATGTGAAGCTCATCACCTTCGGCGCGGAGAATTCTGCGCCGTCTTCGCAGCATGAGTGTGTCCAGATCAGCAATGACCTTGTCTTTGACGACATCTCTGCAATTGTTCGCAGCAACTTGATGCTGAAGGGGGCGTTTTCTGGGCTCAATGAGATGGCGCAGGAGACACTTGTCACCCGACTCGTTGACGCTGCCAATGGGTCGTTTGTCTGGTCCAAACTGATCACCAAAATTGTTCGCGAAGAGTCTAAGCCGGAGGGGCTGAAGAACGCTGTCGAGACCATCGTCTCCTCGAAACCGTCGATAACGGATCTCGTGTCCCAAGTCGTATCTACTTCGTCTACCACTGTAGAAGCCAAACACATGCTCTTGTGGCTGGCTACAGTGGAGCGTCCTCTTCATGTACAGGAGCTTGCCGCTCTTCTCTCGATCCACGTGGACAAAGTCTCTGTCTCTGACGACGAGGTTGACACTCTGCAAGTCCTTAAGCCCATCAAGGCCTTGGTCTTCCTTGAAGATGAACTCGTGTACCTCCGCCATGCTGTCATCCGCCAGTCAGTGCAGGAGCTCTTCTCCAAAGGCGCCCTGATCCCCAATCTCAAAGACCGTCACGCCGATCTCGTCACCAGACTCTTGGTCTACACCAGGACAGTCTCGCTCCAACAGCGTGACGTGTCCCTTTCTTCAATGGAGCAGGCAGATACCACTGCTCTGGTACATAGGCATATTCTTCTCGACTTTGCCTTGAGGTATTGGCCTCTGCACCTCCGCAACACATCCGTCTTCCTAAAAGATGGCTCTCGTGGTGTTTCCAAAGATATCAGCAAGATTATCCCCACGAGCATTGCCGTGGTGCAACTTCAGCACTCGCTTTGGGAACATTCGCTCCCAACGCCTCTTCTGTTTACCTATAGCACCATGGCCTCAGATGTTCTTCGTGAAACCCTGACGCCCAAGCACGCAGCTCCCCTCCAAAGCACCATCCTCGTGGCTCAACTGCTTCGCCAGATTGGTAGACCTGCAGATGCTACGCCCCTAATCTACCAGGCTGCGCTGACGAGCCACTCTCTCTTGACCACCGAGAGCGTTGTGACCATGCAGCTCATGCGTCTCTTCCTGGAGCTGACTTCCGATCAAGTCACACCATCGAAGACAGATATCATGGTAAAGAGAGAGAAATGTCTCCTCTTACTTGTGGAATGCTACAAGATCCACTACGGTTCGTCTTCGGAAAGTGTCATCACCATCTGGAGGCAACTGGCAGAGCACTATCACCTGATCAAGGAAGTTCAGCAGGCTCATGAAATTGAGGGTGCAATTCAGAGCGTCGCCCACGCTGATGCTGCGCATCACGAAGCCAACGGCACCACTGGAAGCTTGGCTGTGAAGCTACGGGCTCCCAAGGATCAAGGCCCGTACTCTCGTCAGACTTTGATCCTCGACACGGAGTATGATGACGAGGTCGACTCGACCTCGGGTTTCAACTTCGGACGTTCCCTGGAGATGGTGCACAAGTACATCTCGCAGGAGCATTACGAGGCCGCTGAGTGTGTTTACGTCCAGCTTTGGCAACAGGCCATCATCGAGTGTCAATACTCGGCCTCCTCCCACTCCCAAGTGCAAAGCCTGAGTGCCACGCTCGAGTACAGCAAGTTCCTCCATTCCCGCGGGCGTACTGATCAGGCTGCATCCATCCTGACCAGCTTCTGGCAGGACTTCCACAACGGCACATTGCACAACGAGGCCTCCCTTCTCCATCTTCGAGATATTGCCTACTTTTTCAAGAGCGTGAAGCTACCTTTGCAAGCTATCGCTGTATTCAAGAAGTGCGCATGGTACTATGAATCCACCAACAACACCCAGTCTTCCGTCTACAAGGATTTACGTGTTAGCATCGAGAAGATCATCAGGGAGGTTCTGGAGAGCAGCACTTCCTTCATCCCTGCCTCCTCTGAATCAACTCTGGAGAAGATGATCATCGAAAGAGCGCATTCCGTCCTTGTTGATCAGGTTGTATTTGATGCCGCTGAGAGTCTCAACAAGAGATACGAGGCGCATCAATTCTGGCGTAATTCCACACGTCTTCTGAAGGGTGTCCTCCAGGGTGTATGGCCTTCCTTATTCTCCTCCTCCATGGAGGACGTCGTCCTACCTACGAAGCTCGCTGAGCAGTGTGTCAAGCTTGCGCAGCATCTCAGCCAATGCTACCGCTTCCGACGTCGTCCTTCCAAGGAGAAGGACATATACGTCCGCATCTACCGTGCTCTCCGATCCGAACGCAAGGTTGAAGATCCGCTGCGCAAGGACGTCACATCAGGCCTTCTTCAATGCTATGAGGCCAACTCGAACACAGAACTAGTTATCAGCACACATGAAGAGCTTCTGAACGACTACACACAGTTTTACGGTCCAGAACATGCCACCGTTATCAGGCAGCTCTGGACACTGGCGAATCTGACTCGTCCCCAGCCCGTGTCCATCGAGTATTACCAGCAGATCATCCGCATCCTCAACAAGGGCAATGGCTCGAAGCCTTGTCACCCTGATGCCTTTGAGCCACTTGTCATCGTCGCTACAGACATGTGGACCCAGAGCCGCTACATGGATGCCGCCAACTTCTACGCGATTCTCTTTACCACGTTCCTTGAGCAGGAGAAGTTGAGCCCCAATTTGAAGGATGCTAGCTTCGTCCGTGAGATATTCGAGCGCTACACACACTGTCTTCGTGTGCTGCGCACCGACTTCAGCACCTTGCATGGCATTACGACGTCTTACAGAACCAAGTGCAAAGCCGTTTTCGGCTCATCCGCCACTGTCACTGTCCTGGCTACTTTGGCCCTTGCCAGAATTTGTCAGGAGTCGAAGCGCTACGAGAAAGACGCCATTACCCTGTACAAGGAGCTTCTCAAGACGGAATCTCATGCAGTCAACCACAACGAGATATCCGCCATTTTGGAGACCTTGTACGAGGATCAGGCCACCCTCGTCGCCAACGCCAAAATGGAGGACCTCTCGTCTGATGAGGCCCAGAAGGCTGAGCAACGCCTCAGAGGGCGCATGACTTCTACTAGAAAGACGTACGGCTGGGCTCATGAGGAGTCGCTTACGCAGTTGACGCAAATGGTAACCTTGCTCGTCATCCGCAATGAGACCAATGCCGCATTGTCTGAGCTGAACGAAGCAACATCTCAGATCCTGTCGTCAACCACCTCCGCGACAGCCTTGTTCAGCGCTGCTTCGTCGATTGCTTCAGCCTACCTCGCCGTCGGCCAGAAGCACAAAGCCCTGGAGCTCACCGACGATATCTACCGTCAGATTATCCTGCGAGACAGCAGCAACTCCAGCAAACTCAACTTTGACTTGTCTGGCAAAATCCAGTCTAGTCTCATCTTCTTGGCGGAGATGAGACACTCTTTGACTCATCAAAGCTCAAGTGTCACTGAAATTCTCTCGACATTGACGACCGAGATTACATACTTTGAGGATTTTGAGAGATTGACCAAGGCCAAGGACAGCAGCCTGCACTCCGTTCTTGTGTCGGCCACCCGTCTCTACCACTTCCTGCTATCACACGACAAGGAAGCTGCGCAGCGAGTTCTGACGGAGCTGAAAAACTACTTCATCAGAACGGAGGGGAAGCGCATCCAATGCACAGACCCTGGGCAAGTCCATGAGTTCGTCTTCACTCTGATTGAGTATTTCAGGGTGTATCAGGTGCAGGACTTGACACGCTCCGTCGGCATTGCCAGCAACGAGCGTGTCATCCAGCTACTCAAGGACCACAAGTTCGACGCTGCTATCAACCTGGCCACCGTCGCCTTCAAGTACATCTCTGCTCAAAGCAGCTACTGCACACCTAAGGTGGTCAAGTTTGTTTTCATGCTGGGCATGAACATCTCTGGATGTGGCCATATCACTCAAACCAAGCAGGCTGTGCACGAGAAACTCCTGGCTACGTCGGCAACTCTGTTGCAGGACGCTCTTCGCGTTACCAGTGACCTGAAGCTCGACCTTGCCCTTATGGAGTCTGACAGCCTCAACAGGCTGATCGGTGTGTTGGGCGAGCAGCAAGCCCACGATACTCTGTCCTGGCTGCTCGGCATCCTCTGGAACAGCCGCGATGTCCATCAAAAATGGGAGCCGAGCGCCACACTGGCCTTGGGTCGTCGCTACATCATGGCGCGCTATCTCGTCGGCGACACATCTGCCGCCGTGCGCCTCGCTGAAGATATTGTATACAACGTCCGTCGCGTCCACGGCCCCCGTCACCACACAACTCTCGACATGTCCGCGCTCCTTGCACAGATCTACACTGGTATTGGACAGAAGTACCAGGCGCACAAGGATGGAGTGGAGCTCGCAAAGCGATATTACAAGAAGAGCAGCGCCACGCACGAGAACATTCTACGTGCCTTCACAGACATGGACCTTGACGCTACTCTCGACGGATCTATGAGTCTAGACGGACACTCCCTCGACCTAGATCTCCACGACGACCTCGAGAGCAGTGTGAGTCCCGAGGAGGCTGTCCGCAAGCACTTCAAACTCCTCAAACTGGCTGTGCAGCGCCTGGGCGAGTGGCCAAAGGATTATACGGAGTACGAGCGTCTGAATGCGGACTTGTACCGCGAGTTCCCAGTCGCGCTCAACGGTGTTGAGGGAGTTGAGAAGTGGGATCTGAAGAAGATGGGCGATGGTAAGGCGGAGAGTGATGAGGATTTAGTGGATGGTCATGTTAGTGACTGGGCTTTGTTTGAGACGGAGCAGTGGTTTGAGGCTGGTGTTGATGAGGCGAACGGGGTGAATGGTGAGGAGGAGTTGTAGATTGATCAGCGGCCCCAGACTCCGGGCATGGGGCGGGGGGTGATGAGGGTCCAGCCCGCTGCCGCTTTTGCCGGCTAGACGCCCGTCGGCCCCGCATCTCATTCGGAGCTTAAGGCCTGAAATTCCACCAATACAGTGTAAACATTTTGGCATATCCCTAAGAACCCCTCGAAGACGGAATTGATGTTTGTCGTTGCTTGCTTTGAAAGGAATGTCCGTCTGCTAAGTCGACTCATTCTCAACAAATGTCATGCAGCTGTAGATGGCGTATGACACTGTGGCTCGCGATAAATGCGACTGCTCTTGGGGTTGTGTATTACCACGTCTAATGAGCTGGACCAGCGAGGGGCGGTCTGCACTATTACCCAGGTCCCTGCAATTTTACAAGTCTTGCAAGAACATCGAGGCACATACCCGACTTTTGATCCGGAACATCAAGAGCTAGTCCGCTGCGACGCGACAGTGACCTACGGCACTGGCACTTGGCGATCGCGAACGAGGTGCTCCACTTGGTCGCCCCGATGGCAAGCAAAAGGGAACTGAAGTGTGCCCTTTACGGTTATGCGGCTCCCTGGGCATGCGGCCCATCCCGTCTGTGCTAACTTCACCCCGAAACACCGGGGCATACGTGTACGCGGCGGACTCTTGGGACAGGGGTTTGCGAGCAAGACGTAAAGCCAAGCGGGCTGCTGTCTGCCCGCAAGAAGTTCAAGCGCAGATCAGCTTCCTCGACCTCTTCCATCGCGAGATTAGACGCTCTGGCCATAGCGAAATTGTGAGCTCACGCGAACAGCTCAATATGGGCAAGAAATTGGCAAATTGGTACTTCGCCCTGGTGGCGGCCCTTTGCATGGTGTTATACGGTTACGATGCATCGGTCTTCAACTCTGTGCAAGGCTCGGACAATTGGTTCAAATGGATGAACGTTGACAAAGACAAGGACACACAGATGCTCGGGTTGAGTGAGTCTGCCCTATCCAGGTGGCTGAATTCCTATTGACATGTCTAGTCAACACTAGTTACACGATCGGTGCCATCGTCGCCGGCTTCTTTCTCGGGGGGCCCTTGGCTGATTATCTCGGTCGAAGATGGGGTATGTGGGCTGGTTGCTTTCTCACCATCGTTGCAACCTTCATGCAAGCCTTCACTCCCCATCACAAAATTGGTGTCTTCATCGCCGGTCGTGTCATCATTGGCATCGGGCAAGGTCTCGCCCTGACTGCTGCACCGGTGTACATTAACGAGATTGCCCCGGCTGAAATCCGTGGAAGGATCATGACGATCTGGCAGATGAACTACTCGGTTGGTAGTTTTATTGCTTACTGGGTCAACTACGCCTGCTCGACTCGTCGCGAGAAGCTTGGTCAGTGGGACTGGAAAATGGTGGTTATGTTCCAGATCCTCATGCCCGCCCTGGTTTGCATCGCTCTACCTTTTATCCCTGAGACGGCGCGCTGGCACATCAAAAAGAACGATAACATCGACGCGGCTCGCGCTTCCCTTGCTCGTATGCGAGGCACCGAGCAGGAGGTCGAGGAGGAGCTTCTCGCCATTCGCAGTGCGGTGGAGTACGAGAAGGAGGCAATCTCGAGCACATCATACGCTGCCTTGTTCCGCGACCCTTCTGTCCGCAAGCGTCTCATTCTCGCCTTTATCCTCAATATTGGCCAGCAGCTCACCGGGCAGGGCACTCTTAACTCGTACTCCACGAGTATCTATCGCCAGATCTGGAACAATCCCGAAACAATTAATCTCATCAATGCCCTCAACGCCACGTTTGGAATCCTCTTCACTTTGAATGCCATGTGGACCTCGGACCGGTACGGGCGTCGCTGGCTGCTCATCGTCGGTGCCATTGGCATGGGCGTTTGCATGTTGGTCGTGTCGCTTGTCGGCCTCAAAACCCCGACAGTCTACATCAAGGAGAGCCCCGACGGCGTCAAGTCGGAGCCGGTTGGCATTGGAATCGTCTTCCTCCTGTTTCTTTTCGCCTTCTTCTACAAGCCTTCATGGGGTGCGACCGTGTGGATGTGGACAGCTGAAGTCTTCTCCATGAACATCCGCGCGCAGGCGGTTGGCATGTCATCACAAATGCAGAACGTCGCCAATACCATCTTTCAGCAATTTTTTCCCGAGTTCCTCGCCAATGAAGGCCTGAAATGCCTCTTCTTCTTCATGTCAGTCAACTTCTGTCTCGCCGCCTTCGTCTGGTTCTTGATCCCCGAGACGAAGCAGGTGCCTCTGGAGGAAATAGACGTCCTGTTTGGCGGAGCTTCTCACTCTGGTAAGGGTGGTGATATTCTTGGTGAAAAGGTGGCGGATCCTTCTACGATTAAGCATACTGCAGAGGGTACCGCTCTCCATGCAGCAACTACTGAGAATCAAACGGTTTGAAGATGTGGCAATCTGGTTTAGGCACCTGCTTTGGATGTTCAGGCAATGAAGGATCAATTCCAGCGCGCAGATAGCGAATTTTTTTTTTTTTTTTTGTCGCTGTGAAGTGTTTCTATTGCATCTCCTGGATGATGATCGGCGTTGCGGCAGCATTAGCCAACGAACTTGGCCTGTTCGATGGCGAAGATGGCGCCAAAGTCAACGAGAACGCAAAGTCAAAGTACGAGAAAAGGCTCCAGCATCGAAGTGTACCTCTGGCCATCATGCTGCACATATAAAAAGAGCAGTTTGCGACCAGACTTGCGCCCAATTTTATTACGTCCGAGCACATTGTCCACAGTGTAACAGCGTCTGTGTCGCTTCAAAGCGTCGCTTATTTCACTCTTGGAGAAAAAGTTTGCCAACGTCAGCAATGTCCCCTGTCAAATATCAGATGTACTTGCGATTGAACTACAGCATGTCAAAGTCTTGGCCAATTCCCTCGGTCTACAAGCTATTGTGGAAAGACGGCTAGCAAGTGCTGACACAGACCAAGGCCAAAACTCCATCGAACTCAGTCTGACAAACTACGGGTTTCTTACGGCTGTTGCTGATAGCTCCTTGCGCACCCTGGATATTGCCATTGATATGCACCAGCGCAACGCTTTACGTTTTGCTCCTGCATCGACATTTGTGCTTATAACGACAGCTTCCGTATTTCCGCTGAAGGGACTGGGCCTTAGTGTCAATATCATCAAACTCAATTCTTCTTTGGAAATTCTTTCTAAGGCCGTCGCAGCGCTGCGTATCAGTAGGCCGGGTGAATTCATCTGGGGGCACGGTACGCGTCCTTGTTCGAGGTACACATGGAGCGCCTGCGTTTGAGCTTCCTACCAGCGGCGCGGCTCCCAGAATTCGTCGCCAGGCATAATGGGATGCCCCAAGACACGCAACAGGGATTCATTGACTGGCCGTAGGACTTTGGGCCATCGCAATTGGGAGGAGACAGCGGCGTGTTTGGTGGTAGCTGGCTCGCTTTACCTTTCAATTCATCGTTGCTTCCATTCATCCCCGATGAGTGCCAGGGCTTTCAGGGCCTTGGAGCCCACTCACTAGACTTGATCTGAAGCCTCGTTTCGAAGTAGTAGCTGAATCCAAAAACGGATGGGAAAACCAGGATCTGCTCGTACCCCAATCTTCCGACATTTTCCAGCCGAGAGTGATAGCGTAGTTCGGCCTTTAATCACGAGGACCCATGGAAACTAGTAATAATGAAAACATTGCAACCGAGCCTGCTTCATTGGCTCTATGACTCGTGTGCGTTGCTTGGCCGTCGGCATCCAGAGGTTTCCGATCTCATCCGGCACGGCATAGTGACGACCCGTCGGGTGGGCTCCAAACTCACATCTCCGCAGATTACGACTCTATTAATGAACTTTGCTGTCTGGTCCACGAGGGAAAGCTCAACCTGGGTTCTTCTAGGGTACACTGTGCACCGTGGATGGGAGCAAAGGATTGGTTCTCTCCTTGCTGGTTATAACAATAGCCTTCGACGTCCACTTCGATCGTATTCCGGGCAGCACCTTCCATACTCAATTTCCCAACACAGAAATAACATATTCACTGCACGAGTGAGCGGCAAAGACCGAGCGCTTGCGTCTACTGATGTGGCCAACTCCGAGAAGGCCCGCCTCGAGGAGCTAGAGAATGGCCTCGATGCCAACTTCAACAACGACGCCAAGTGGCCCGCCAGGTTAGATGGCACGAAGAAGCTTATCCGCAAGCTCGAGTGGATAATTCTACCGGCCCTCTGAATCATGTACTGGCTCAACTACCTGGATCAGAACGCCATCACTGTGGCTCGACTCGAGATTCTCCAAGACGACCTTGGTATCACTTCGACAGAATACCAAACTTGTGCATCGATCCTATTTTTTGGATACATTCTGGGCCAGGTTACATGCAGTTTGTCTAAACTAGTGACGGATTCACCGCCCACACTAACACCAGATAGATATGCTTATGACCCGAATCCGACCGGCCTGTTTCATAGGGGGAGCCATGGCCCTATGGGCCGTTGACAGCACCCTCACCGTCATTGCACACGATTTCAAAGGCATCCTTTTCACACAATCTTCCCTCGGCGTCGTGGAGGCACCTTTCTACCCAGGCGCCCTGTACGTCCTGTCAGTGGCTTATGAAAGGCATGAGGTTGCCGTTCGTATCTCCATTCTGTTGACAGCCAATAACTGCGGCACTGCGTTTGCAGGTTTCATCGCTATCGGCGTCTTCGAGATGAGCGGCGTCGCTGGCCTTGCCGGCTGGTGGTGGCTGTTTATTATCCAGGGCATCGCCACTTTTGTCCTGTCATTCATGTGCATTTTTGTGCTGTCAAGATAGCCACACAACACCTGGTGGCTGGATGAAGATGAGAAAGCAATGGCACACTCTTGTATCGCCGAGGATACGGTTCAGCTCCGCGCCAACACCAGTACCCCAGTACATGGACAAGTCTGCCGGAAACCCTCAAGGATGAGTATCTGTGGATCTTGATTCCCCTGCGGCATCTACATCTGGCTGCCAGCAAATTCAAGAACTGCTTCGCTAACATTGTCGACAACCTTGGGTTCAGTCGTAACGTCACATTGGCGTTGACGTACCAGTGTGCCCACTGTCAAACCACAGGCCGAATTTCTCGCGCATATCTAATCAGGCTAGGAGTGGGCCCACTGTCAAAAAGGCCAGCAGTGCTGACAGCCAAGAAAAGCAGACATTCCTCGACTTCATGTTTGCTGACAGAATGATCCAGTGGCTGGCCGAAAAAGGGAGTGTCTGCGACAGGGGTCCTTGGGCATCCTCCCCTCGCGTCATGCTTCGCAGGCTGGCAGGTATAGTAGATTCAACATGATTTTATCGCACATTTTGAGGTTGAAATGGAAATGGAACTTTGGAAGCTCATATAACAGCTTATTACTGCATCAGTAGCGTAGGATTTTGTATAGTGAGCAAGTATCGAGTGTCGCGTGTGTAGTGCTATATTTGGACTTAATCTTGTATAACTCTAGATTAGCTGCGCCCGTTTCGCTTTACGCCTAAAGACGTGCATTAGAGGATTGTCTTGGCTTCCTATTCCTGCTTTGCCAAGCCGACGAGCGGGGTAAAACAAAACGTCAACCATGTTGGTCGCGTGATTATTTACTACTACATGTAGATATGCAGGGCAGTAAGGCCGGCGACGGCCTCGCCCTACTACACACGCATCGCAAAATGCGTATTCCGACACAAAATTTCGAAGTTGACGTCTTTCCTGCTCAACACATTGATCCACGGGAAAGATACTGTGAACTGGCAGATGTTGAGCTCGAGCGGACTAAAGTGCGGCACGGCGTCGAGGCGGGTTGCTGTGTCCGCCAAGAGCGTCGAAGGAATATGCGTCGACGAGATAGGTGTCTGGGCATTGATCCTGCGAGCATGGATGTAGGATACCTCGGCAACGTATTTCTCAGGGGTTAAAGATCAGCTGCTTATGCATTTCCAATTGCAGAGTCGACAATGTCGCAGAATTCAGGTATAAGACCAGGGCGGGGCCCGAGAGAGTTTGGAACCCAAGCTACAGTTGCGCTTCATCACTACACAGACCGACTCAAGGCTGTGTCGCTTCAAGAATGAAGCTTTCAGCCACGCTTGCTGGCTTTGGCCTGGGAGTCTTCACGCTCCTCGGGTCCGTGGCCGCTCACCCCTTTTCTCCCGACACGACATCGCTGTCCGGATTGGGCAATCATCTTTCCCGGCGTGCTGACCCCGGAGAGTTTTATCTCAGGATCATGCCACTTGGGGCCTCAATTACGGCTGGAGACTTTTCGCAAGATAACGGAAAGAACGGATATCGTAAATTTACTCGCGACAAGCTCCGATCAGATGGCTGGGACGTCAACATGGTGGGCAACTTTAACTCGGGCTCTATGAGTGACAATGTATGTCCCTTACCCAGACCTGATTTTGAGCATCCTGTCGAAGGCTGTCCCATATTGTTACGATTTGGCTGACGCGAGGTATTCGACCGTATTAGGACCACGAAGGAGTTAGCGGTGACCGCGTCGATCAAGTCGAGGATCGCGCCAGAGGCTCGTGTCGAGTCTGGCTTCCAAACGTTGTGCTCATCAACGCCGGTACGAATGATGCCAACCAAAACTGGGATGTCGACCGGACAGGTTTGCGCATGCAAGAACTCATCAACACCATCATTGCCGAAGTTCCTGATGCAGTGATCGTTCTTTCGACGCTTCTGCCTACGAGTAATGGGGAATCACAGGCTAGGGTCAATCGCATCAATGACCAGTATCGTCAAGTACTCCGTGAATTCGTGCCCGTGGATGAGGACGGGCAAGAGGAGCCCAATCCGAGTATCAAGGTGGTACTAGCGGACATGGCAAGCTTCCTCACTCTCGATGACATCCACGACGGCATACACCCCGACATCGAGGGCGAGAAGAAGATGGCAGCTGTGTGGGTCTGGGCCATCAACTATGCCAACGAAAAGGGCTGGATCACGGAGCCGACTGACTCTGGCAAATTCGACGACGCCCAACCCAGCAGGACCTGCCGAAAGGAACTAGGAAGCGGCGCGTTTGACTACCGCAGCGGTCGACAAGTTCTGTACGCTCGCGCCGGTGAGATTAAAAACGACGGCACTTACAGGCATTCCGGCATTCCTCGGGACGACCGCGCCGGCGATATCCCCGACGTTGAAGATGATGGATCGTTGTGGTTTGCACAGCTAGTCAATCGCGGCGGCGCTCACAAGCTGGGCGAAATTGACGAGATGATTGTCGCAAAGTCCGATAGCTCCACATCTGATAGTTCGCCGAGGAAGTTCACCATGTTTGTCAACTATGGAGGCGCGACTTTCCCGGAGCAGCACGAGATTACTGTTCCCGACTCTTGCTCAAACGAGGGTGAGTTCTCTGCACGTATTTTGAGAATATTGAACATGTACTGATTCAGATGTTCGCAGCCATTCGATGGGGCGATCTGGTGAGTACATCAACAGCAGAAGGCGCGACTCACAGCGTCCATTTATCCGGCTGCTAACCTCTCCAACTCATTTAGAACGGCGATGGACTCGATGACTTTATCTGCATCTTTGCCAACGGTGAGATGTAAGCATCACCCAGCTCTTTCGGGAACTGTGTGGGATCTGTCGCTAACGTGCCTTGTTGTACAGGCATGCGTCTTTGAACGAGGGCGGGAACCCCCCAACCTTCAGACAGCTCGGTCTGGTTCGTCTCCTTGTCGCAGCCCCAACACCAGGAAAATGAAATACTGACCTCTTCTGTGCAGTATAAAAGCCCTGAACTTGGAAAAGGACGTGATCGCGTTCGTCTGGGAGATATCGACGGCGACGGGAGGCTTGATTATTGTGTCATGCCCGACACCGGTGATGTCCAGTATGTCTCGAAAGCTATGATGGCACAAACTGTCCGAGGCAAGGGAAGCTAACGTTGGACATGCAGTTGCTGGAGGAACGGAGGCCTCGGCGCCAAAGCAGCCTACTGGCAAGATCTAGGATCTGGTGGCCCGGTGTTCACAGCCAAGGGCATGGGCGATATGAGAGGTGTCCAATTTGGTAAGCAAAGTTCAGCCCGATCTACGGATCAGGTGCCGCGAAACCGAGAGTCGCGCGGTCTTTGAAAATCTACTAACCTTGTTTCTGTATAGTCGACATCAACAACGAGTAAGTCTCTATCCTGGAATAAGCCACCACGTTTCTAGGCGCTCTGAGCTGACATGCCTGCGAAACACAGTGGCCGCTATGACTGGCTGTGGATGAGCACGACAGGCCGTGTCACAACATGGATCAACCAGCGCGGCTCAGGTAAGGGCATGGTGCCAAGCTGGCTCAAGGCCGCCAATGATGGCATTACACACGGAGGGATGGGAACCGACATTGGCGACAATCGCGAACATGTCCGCTTTGGCCGATTGTGGGATGGACGACCAAGTTACATCCACTGGGAGATCGACGATGGCCATCTCACATTCGACGTGTGGGAGAACCGTGGAAGCGGTGGAAAGCATCAGAAAGGTGAGTTCCACCGGGTCAAGCGGAGAGTCGATCGTTGAAGCATGTGCTAACAGACGGACCCAAAAAGGCGACGGTATTTTCTGGGGAGACGTGACGGGATCCGGCTTCGACGACTATGTTTGGATTCGCTCCAACGGTGAAGTCACCGTGTTCCCAAACGTTTACGACCAGAGCACTTCATCTGACAGGTACTACCGGGAGGACACCAACGCTTGGGGCCTCCCCAGCGCCACACTCAACACTGGCTTGGACCGTCGTGCGCTGCACGTTGGGGACTGGGATGGTGATGGGAAAGCCGATATTATCGGCGTGGACCGAGAAACGGGCGGCGTCAAAATCTGGTACAGCAACTGGGACGGCACCAACTTCAACTGGGACCCACAGGACCACAGGAGCACCACAAACGGCTGGTGCACCGAAGGCTGGGGACTTCTCCCCGGCGACCACGGAGCCCACTTTGCTGATGTTACGGGGTCCAAGAAGGTCGACTATCTCTGCATGAAGCCCGACGGCACTACGACAGCCTGGTTGAGAGACTTCTCGGATAGACCGTGGAGAAACGTCGGCCAGGTCAAGTACACAGAGGACCTCGACCGCGCAAACTTCCGCTTCGCAGACATTGACGGCGATGGAAAGGCCGACATGGTGCATACCGACAAGTTTACTGGCAACGCGCGCGTGTGGTACGCTGTAGGGGAGCGAAGCGACCCAGAGAACAACGGAGGCAGTGCTATGGAATGGGAACGGCCACAACTGCTCTTTTCGGGTGCCGCTAGAGGAGAGGACACATTCTTCCCCGAGCTCTCAGGCCAGGGTCGTGGTGACATGGTCTGGATCGACCCAACCTCTGCCCATGCTTGGATTTCATTCAACTCCTGCGCCGCCGGGGGCGATGACGGAGAGGAGACACCTGCCGACCCAGGGCTGCCTGAGTATAACCCACCGGACAACCCTGGGCCCGGACCAGGCGACAGCTGGTTCTGCGATGGGAATGCCGGCACCTGGGACGAGGACATGTGGTTCGCACACGGCGTCGGAACCTGGTTCCTGCAGAGGAGCGAATCCTACTACGCCGTTGACAGGGACTGGCCGCGGAACGAGGGCAGTGAGGAGATTGAGGGCGTCCCGCGGATCATTGCCAAGTTCGACGGTTTCAATCAGGACGACATCTGGAACTGGCCTGCCTCGTGCAGAGACATTTCCATGACTTGTACCTTGGATGAGGATCACCTGTCTGACGATGACAAGTGCCCAAGGCATGAGGAGCGCGCCTTTGTCCTATGGTCGCTTCGGAATGTTGCCAGGAATCTTCAGCACTTTTATGAAGTCTTCTACCGTGGACTCTTCCTCGCGGATTTCGACGTACCGGGGAGTGCCGAGGACTTTGTCGACGGAGGCGCTGGAGACATAGGCCTGGAAACCGCTGGCCTCCTGACCGTCGCAGCCGGCATGTTCACAAGTCTTGGTGCTGTGGCCGCCCCGGGTGCTGGAGTCGCCCTGAACACGTTTGCCGGTATTGTGACCATGGCTGCTGGGATGGCAGGCGGCACAAGCGGTCCGCCCGAGGACGTCCGCTTCAGCAATTTTGCCGACATCAGCACCCTCCTTGGCGATCTTGGCGAATGGTTTGGCGAGCGCATGGGCGCCTACTTTGACGATCTTCTTTCGAGGACCCCGTCTGATGACGACTTTGACGAGGGAATGAGGCTTGCCCGCCTTCTGCAGGACGGCGGCTTTGCGAACCAGGACTCGGTAGTCGATACCAGTGCGACGGACATTCGGAACGTGATCTTTGCGTCCATCATAAGCGAGATCTGGAACGCGCAGCAGGTCGCCATCATCAAATGGTCCAACGACGGATGGGTCGCCAACGACTGGGGCTTCTCTCCTTGCTACGGCGACCAAGAGGACTTGGGCATGGGCAGCCACATCGCCTGCGTTAACGAGAGGAACTTTGCCATCGGTCGTTTCGACAAACCCGGCGACCGGAACCCCTGGGCCAGGAACTGGCCCGATGTGGGTCAGGATGAAGATACGCTAGGCAAGTACGATCTCAACCACGTCGAAGTCATCAACGCTGCCGAGCGCATGCAGGAGCGCGCGCAGAGTTACAAGCCGCGGCGGGACTTTGACGCGCTGAAAGACGTGTTCGAAGACATACAGAATGACCCCACTGCGGCGGACAGGCTGAACAGGCTAAAACAGATCAACGTGCCAGTTTGCGACATGGACTTGGTGGACGACCCCGACATGACCTGGCCGACCATCGGATACTGCCAAGAGGACACTCGGAGTCGCGGCTGCTTCTGGGAACTGATTGACAAGAACTGCAAAAAGCTGAGCTTGGGGGGGATGCAGTGGCCATACTAGACAATGTTATCATTAGTTACCTGAGAAATAGCAGAGTAATATGAGCCATACTCGGATCTGTTCGCGCACTTGACTTGGAGTTGAAGGAACATATTTCCCCACAGGATGGCCCGGGTCGTTTCTGGGTGGACACCTGCTGCATCGGCAAAACGCACCCGATTGAAATGCCAGTCCAGCATCACGACGTTTTGCTGGTATCGTGGTGCGTCTCACTACCCTGTGTACATGTCACACGTATCAGCCAGCGGCGAGCAAGCCAATACCCGATCAGCAGTTTGGAGTTGCAACGGCGACGACAAGAACACCTCGGACGCGACTGCCGTTAGATGTCGAGATTCATCATGTGTAATGGCCTCTGATTCATGGCGATGGCAACTGGGATACCCAATCAAAGGTCGAGCCAAACTCTGCGATTATTGTATCCATCACCTCTCTGGGTATCTTGACGCTCTCCAGCCGCTCCTCTGGGCTCTGGCGCTCGTGCCGATTGAGGATTCGGTTCACTTCGCCTGTGCGTGCCTGGCTCGCTTCTCGGAGGCTATCGCGAACTATGGGCTGGGAAAGTTTCGCAGCATCCCAGAACATGAAGGCTCGTTCTCGGAGTGGAGCGTTCAGGATCCCTTCGTGGCTTATCTCCAGGTAGACATCCTGGTCCGAACGTTTGAATGAATAGTAACCCAAGGATGTGTGGCGAGGATCGTCATCATCCGTGATATCACCTAGTACCATAGTCCGGAGTCCAGTCGCGGGTGCCTGATCCACCGCCTCTGGGAGAAAATCCCGCCTAAGCGGGCTGTTCCTCCGGATGATATCTTTACGTTCGTCATTGTCGGCGAGGAGCAGCTCACGGGGCAACACAGAGCCCAGCGATGCCAGTTAGCTCGCTATCTAGGGAAACCTGAACCTGCCATCCCTGGAGAAGAGATCCAGATCGAGCAGGTCGAGGAAGCCAAAGCTCACCATGCTATCGTCGTCGTTGTCGGCGGCGGCGACGGGGCTGCCCTCTCGCTCAGACTTGTCGGATCTGCCGGGTGGCTCACTATCGTCCCGAGGCTGGATCGGCTGCCGAAGAGGGACCAAGCGAATCCATGATCAACGGCTCGGCTAGGGTGGGGTGGCTGGGGCTGCTGCGAACGCCGGGAGCCGAGAGAACAGCCTCCACGGCTTGGTCTTCAAGACGGTCGATGAGTCCCTCCATACAGGACGTAAAATAGTGGAGCTCATCTCTTCAACCTCCCACGGTTCTATGTGAGCTAGAAACTGGGCGAACTGTAGGTCGGCAGGGAAAAGCTAGTGGCGTAGAACGGAATGGTCGACGGGAAACACCAGAGAGTGGAGCTCGTATCTGAAGAACGCCCCCTGGAATCTCGCCCGCTCAGAGGACGACAGGGTCAATCCTACACCCTGCTAGCCGTCGGGCTTCGTGGCCAGGGCTCGCATCGCTCGAGAGCAGTAATCGACGAAGTACGAGATGCGCGAGTAGAGGCGCCGAAGGGCAGTCATGGCCGCCGCATCTGCGGGAAACTCGAGCAAGGAGCCAGCCTGGAGGTAGCGGTCGATATAGCGTTCCAGAACTTCTGTCTGCGTATCCGGACTGGGAGTGGCGGGGACATTAAGGATGGCGAGCGTATGGTGGAGGACGGTGGGCGCGATGGCATTTCGGAGAACCGATGAGAGGATGAAGATCCGCGCCGACTCATAAGCTCGAAGCAGGGGCTCGACAGGCCGACGAGCGAAAAGAGGTCGCGCGGGCAGTCTACCTCTTGCAGGATCAGGGACAAAACTTGGATTGGGACAAGATGCAGAGACATCGGACAATCGCGACTGCAGTGGACTCCCCTGCGGCTCCTTCCTCAAAAAAACAAAAAGAAAAAAAGAGGGAATAGGAAAAGACATGGGGTGAGGGCGGGAACGCGCGCCTAGAGACTACGAAGAGAAGCGCCGCCCGGAGAGGTGGATGCCCAAGACCGGGACAGGGATCACAGCGCGAAGTACGCGCCGTGGTGTGGATCTTTTCGCTCCGGTCCGTCGCGCTTCTCCATCACGCTTCTCCTCCACATTCACAGATGGCGCATAAGAGCGTCTTGCACCCACCCAGTCACGCGTCGAAGATGAGTGGTGGTACAATGCGTGTGCTCTCTGCAGAACGGCCGCATAGCTCTGGAAGCCGCAAGCATCGACGTTCCCTTTCCTCGAGCGCATTCTCAGACGACGGGGCAGCTCACCGGACGGCGAAACGACACAAGATCGCGCATTCTACTGTTCCACCGCCTGCATTCTGGAACGGCTTGTCCGAAGTGCCGCTCTGCGCGAGTGCTTTGCGAGAGCTAGATCGAAGGAATAAACAGCGAGAGACAGAGAGAGTCAGCTCGAGGGAACGCCAAAGTCGTCCCTGACACGACGCGCTGCTGCCGACCACAAGGACCGTCTACAGCCCGCCGATCAATTCCTCAGCCGCTATGCGACGCCATATCCAAACGACATGAGGCCTTTTGAGAAATGTGGTGGCCCTAGCCTGACTGACCTTCGAGGGGTGGGTCACGCTTGTCGTCCACTCATCTGCCAAGCTGACACGCAGTAGTGCCGCGCACCACCTATCGAAGACACCGAAGGCGGAATGACCTCTCGCCAACCAAGCCTTGAGAAACGATAGCGAGGCTCCCGGTCTCCTGTGAAGCGTGGCTCAACAAATACAACGACGACGCGAAGTACTGGACAATACGACCGAGCCTTCCATTAACACCTTGTCGATCACCACATCTACCCGAACAGGCACAGGTATCCCGATGGCCAGGCTCTACCACAGCTGGCGAACCTTGACGAGATCGGAGAAATTCTGCTACGAAGCCAGCGCTCTCTCTCTCCCTCCCAATATTCGGAGTGACAGCTCGAAGGGTTCGAGAAGACTTGGAGGACCACATCATTCCTTCTACCCAAGGCGACCTTCCGATTGCTCCAAATTGGGTTCTTCAAACTAAAAGGCCCGACGGAACCTTTTCAGTCGCGTCTCGGCAAGCTTGCTTTGTTCGTGCACTAGGCGCGAGAGGCATCCATAGCCTGCAGACACACAACGCGCCGGAGCCACAGTACCACAATAAGGCTTACACGCTCACGTCGGTCTATCACTGTGGGCAACTCAAGATCTACGCCAGCTACTCAATCGAGCCTCGTAATCCGGGAGAGGAACCTAGCTATGCCATGTCACAGATTAGTGCAATTTCTGCGACAGGGGACTCTGAGACCTTTCGGAAAGACGCTGCAGCGTATCGAGCTGCCAGGAATTGGGCCAAGCTGATGAGAGATGAGGCGATTGAGAAAGCCAACAAGGTCGCCAAGGACAAAGCTGATGGCCTATGCCTAAGCTTGGTCAGCGTTGCATCTGCCGCAACCACAGAGCCCGCAAGCCAGGACACTGTCACAAACCATGGCTCAAATAGGGCATCACCTCTTTACGATTCGGTCACGTCCACAAATCCAAAATCTGAAGAAAGGACATAGTAAACCCGGCCCTCGCTGGGTCACCGAGCTTATCGATATTCCCCACCACAGTCGCCCATGAATTCCAACATCTGTTGCCTCTGACTCACTGCCAGAATCCCGTCAATCTGCGCCTTGTCCTCCCTGTCCAGGGACCAGCCAAAGCTAGCCGCGTTCTCCTCAATGTGCTCGCTAATACCTACGCGTGTGCCGACAAGGACGGCACCGACGTAGGGGAAGTCAAGCACCCACCGGGTCGCCACGTTGGAGATACTGACACCATGCTTGGTGGCGATGGCGGCGAGAACTTGCAGGAGCTGCTGGAACAGGGACCAGCCACCCCATGCACGTATGACGCCGTGGTACTGCCTTGGGCGTTAGACACGGAGACGGAGAACAACGTGGACGGGTCTCATGACCGACATACCTTGCGTTGGCTGGGAGTGATGGACTCCTCGTAGAGGCCCGGCTCTGGCTTTCCGACCCACTTGTCGGACAGGAAACCACCACACTAGATTGCACGCGCGTTGTTAGAGGGTGGTGATCAACGAGACACTAGGGACTCCTGTGAGACCATTGGGCATCTTACCAGTGTCCCGTACGTTAGGAGCTTCACGCCGTGCTTCTCACAGACGGCGCCCATCAAGGCGGTGGGCCGGGAGTCGACTAGCGAGAACTATCCTGCGCGTCAGAATCAAAACTCTCACTGAACAGGGGCTTGACTATACCTGAACCTGATTCGTGTGGATCTTGACTCCGGCAGCGATGACCTTCTCAAGGTGCTCCGTGTCAAAGTTGCACAGGCCCAGCGTTGGCACTCTCTCGTCCTCTACGATGAACTTGAGGGCGTCGAGGTACTGCACGTCATTGTACTGTCGTCCTGTAAGCTTCCGCTTCCAACAGCCAAGAAACCGAGAAAAGGGACATCATACATCTTGCCAGTGGAATTGCAGCAGATCGAGACGTTCCGACTGGAGTCTCCGACACCTCTCCGTAATGTTGGCCTTGATGGCATCCTTCGTCACGGTCATGGGGTGAAAGACGCAGAGCTTTGTCGCTGCGAATATTCTGTCCCGACGAGGACTCGAAGACAGAAACATGCCCTGCGCGCGAAGCCAATGAGCACAGACCTATGCATACGAGTGTTCAACTTACCACCAGGATCTCGGCGTCACCATAGTGGTCGGCCATGTCAAAGGCAGTGAGGCCGCTCGTGACGTGGGAGGAGAGGTGTGAGATGATCTTCGACGTGGGCGCCGAACCCCATGCGGAGCTGGACAGCTGCCAGAGCCCGGCGAAAATACGGGGCAGTTGTCGGCCGTTGAGCGCAAACGTCTCGTATTCGTTACCATGGCCATCGCTGTTGTTGGCGGTGGCGGCCTCTGCTGGCGCGGCGGTCTCCTTGTCCTGGAGACTGGCTTTCTCACCCAGCATGCCGGCCGTGGCGAGAAACGCCCTCGTGTAGGGAAACTCGAGTCTTTGCTCGGCAGTCATGGCGTGGCAGTCGCGCAGGGTCTGGTGTAGGCCCGTAACCGCTTCCCGGTCGTCGCTGGACAGAGCGCTCCGCCCCCGATCCGAAACGAGTGACTTTTCTATAGCGGTCACGGCCTGGACAACATCGCCATCGACAGCCGCCAGAAAGTCGTCGCGGAGTGCGTTTGGTATGGCGTCTTTGTCGCCCTGGGAGGTCGGTACACACATCTGGACAGCCTGAATCGCGAGATCGCCAAGCAAAGGCAGGCTCTGGAAACAGAGTCCGCACCCAATCATACATCGGATGCTCTGCAGCCGCGTCTTGAGCGTCTCCAGCCCGCTCTTGCTGTCTGGTGTTGGACTCGTCTTGGTGTCGGAGTTGGTCATCATTGCGGCCGTGATGTATCTCCTCGTTTCCGCCTCAAAGGTTGACACCGCACTGGGATGGGCTGCCAGTAGGGACCTCATGATAATGCGCAGTCCGGCAGGCGACATGTTGGTGATGATGGTGTCGGTCATCATGTTGACATGGGCGCTCTTGGCAACGCCGGGCCCTTTCAAGGTCGCGACGTCCATCTTCATGGTGGCTCTGGCTGCACTGTCGTGTACAAGCCCACTCTGGTGGAATAGTCGAGTGTCCGCAGCGTTGGGTACTTGGAGAACTTCTTTACTTTGTAGCCGGGCGGTCTAGTGGTTGTAGGTAATCAGCATTGGGCGAACACTCTCTGTCTACCGACCAAAAGTGCCGAGTCATCCAGATCCCATTCAGAGCTGATAGCGATGGGGATGTATTTGGAGACTCAGGACTCAGAAATACGACCCACCGCCAACCGGTCAATCAAACCACGCCGGCGTTCTTTGCACTCCCGCAGAGTCCAGCCGACCGGTTACCCGCTTCCGGTATCGCCACTGCGTCTCCGAACACAGTGGACTGCGACGGCGACTGCGGGGACCCATTCGAGGCATTAATAATGCCTGCAGTAATCAAGATACCGATAGTCATTTACCCTGTCGCTATCTGGCCGCGTCGGCAATCCCCTGTCCACTCATAACACGGCCTATCGTTTTGGTTGCCGCCCGGTGTTATAAGACCGATCGTCGGGCCGGTCTTTTCGACCGTCCTCGCGGACTGCTGGCGACTGCACCGCAGCTGCTCGAATCAATCGCTCCCCGAACACCAGACTGCAGCGGCCATGCCTGAGGAACGAACTCGACCAGCCCGGGCGTGCATGCCCTGCAGGCGCATCAAGACGAGGTGCATGTTGCAGACGGGCGAGGCTCGGTGTCAGCGATGTGCGCGCAAGTCTCTGGACTGCGTGTTTCAGGAACATCAGCGCGGGAGGAGGCCTGGTACAAGGTCAGTCTCGTATTGCTCCGTCCGATTCTGTTGAGCCTGCATAGCGGAGAGGCGAGTGTCGGTGACCAATTTTCATTAACGCACTCAAAGGTTGTCAAAGGGCAACGCCACAACACTCTCGCAGTCTCCAGTCTCCTACCCGCCTCACGGACTCACGACAAATAATGCTATCGCCTCTTCTGCTGCGGCTGCCGTGCCTGGTCCTCCACAGACCTCCCACTCTCATCGGCAGGTGTTGGACGTCCCGGCTTGGGAGACAGGGCCCCTGCAGCCGTCGGGTCTGCTGGACCGTGCCATGTCCAGGGGCCGCTTCACGCTGCGAAATATCCTCAGCACTACTGATTCCGCCGTTCCTGACCGAGGTGCTGGCCCGTCCTCTTCCTTGCCGTCTGCGGACCCTGTACAGCGCGGCCTCCTTAGCTTGTCGGCGGCCTCATCGCTCTTCAACAGGTAGCCAACTACCCCATGCGTTCAAGCAGTAGCATTGCTAACAATGAGCCAGCTTCATGGCCAACTTGAACCCCTACATCAGCCAGCTGGACCCGCAGCTGCACACCCTCGCATATGTCAGGCACAAGTCGCCGTTTCTGATGTCGGCTATCTTGGCTGTCGCCGCCAGGGTCTTCAACCCGCCCCTGCATGAGCGCCTGCTGTCGTACGCCGAGGATCTGCTTGTCGATGGCTTCCGACGCGGGCGCAAGTCGACCGAGACGGCACAAGCTGTCGTGATCCTCACGTACTGGAAGACGCCCGACGACGACCGTGCCTGGATCTCGCTCGGCTATGCCGTCCGCATGGGCATGGAACTGGGCTGGCACCGGCTGACGCGATACACGGGCAACAGCACCGGCGGTAGTTCAATGACAGAGACGCAGAAGCTCGAGGTCCGCAACCGCGAGCGCACGTGGCACGTCCTCTTCGTGTACGATCGGAGGTGAGCAGTCCGTTTTTATCCCAAGGTCCGTCAAAGGCTCATGGGGACTCTAGCATGAGCCTCCAGACAGGCAAACCATGGATGATTGAGCGCAGTGACTTTACAGAGTCCGTAGAGGCGTGGTGCAGGGACCCGCTCGCGGCGCCGGGTGACTCCCTCTTGGGGGCCTTTGTCGTATTGCGCCTCCTGACCTCGGAGGTGTTCAAGCTGCTGGGAGACCGTCCGAGTAAGGGCGGTAGCGGCCGCCTCTATCCTCTCGAGTCGTTGTTGGCCGTGATCAAGGGGAGGATTGAGGAGTGGGAAGCAAAATGGATCGAGGCGGCTTCGCAGGGTAAGTTAAGCCCATTGCAACCTGAAGCTGACTGAAATTTGTCTGTCCTTGCTGACCTGTGTTGTTGCAGAGAGCTGTCATCGATTTCTCATCCACTTCTATGGAGCCCATCTCCGTCTCCAGCTGTTCTCGCTACCGCTTCAGGAGGTCTTGTCGCGCAAGGAGCAGGATCTGTTCCTCAACTTTGAGGCCTTCTGGACGAGCTACTCGAGCGCCCTCGAGATGCTGCGTCTGCTTTGCCGCTTCTCATCGTGCGTTCACCTTGCTCAGGATTCCGTTCACGTCATGACGGCGTACTGCGTCACCTTTCTCATCAAGGTCAGTCCCTCTTTTCCTCCTTGTTGGCAGAATGTGTGTGTGTGTGAAATCCGTAATATTGACATTTCGCGTTCTCTTCAAAAGATCATATCTGTTCCGTCCTCTATCACAGCACAGATCGAGCCCGAAATTGGCGATGCCATCCGGGGCGCCGCCCGAGCGCTGCGCCAACACCCAGTCTTGCCAGGCACGAGCTGCGCCCTACAAGCCGAGTTTCTCGACAGGATCATCGCCCGGTACTTTTTGAAGAAAAGTGAGCAAGACCATGGTGAACCTACCCCTGTTGCCCGCAAGGAACAGGCAAGCCACGTACACCAGCTGCCTAGTGACGGAGGGGTTTCCCTCATGCGTGACTGGGCCGTTGCTGCCACGTCGGTGCCAGGTGCGGGCGTCTTCCTTGACGACGACTTTGGGGGCCTTGACGCCATCTTCGGTGAGGGCGCCCTCTGGGGTGGTGCGGCCACAGAGGCTGAACCTGTATGCCAGGAGGGTAGCTTCTACACGTAGGTTGCGCACCTTCGAGCGAGTGAAGCCCAAGACACAGCGCAATATGTACATGTCAAGGTACCATGAGCATCAACATGATGTGGATTGGAAGATGTGTTCGCAGACTGTCTCGCCATTTTGTGACGGACACTTTTCATGATTTTCACATTTACATGCCGGGCACCACTCTCGTTCTATCCAAGTTATGTACAAGATGGTGTCGATGGTGTGTTCAGGGGCAAGACGGTCGTCTCGGAATGCCTGAAGACACGAAGACCTTCCCGGACGATTCTGAGCTGCGACGGACAATTGGGATCCGGACAAGCAATTAGGGCATCCGTCGTCATCCAGTCGTTGGCGTCGGTGACTCGTTGCTTGGCTGGGAGCAGAGGGAGCACGGACGCTGTCAACCTGTCAGCTTTGTTCGCTCCTATCTCGATCTTCCAGCTCGCTCCTCGTCTCCTCGTCGGGGTCTGTCGCCACATTACATACCTAGGCTGTAGATGCTGATGCCCTGACCGGGTGGCAAATGGAGCATCTCGCCCTGGAGGGTGAAGTAGTCTCCCTCGCGGGCCCCACACATGATTCTCTCGCCTGCAGGGCACGAGACCTCGACCCGGAGGTCATAGAGCTTGAACGAGTCGTCAGTCGCCATGTCTGCCCCAAAGTTACTCCAGTCGTCTGAGTGGACTTGGGTCTGACGCCGTAGATTTGTTGGCCACGTGCGAGACCTGGGCTTTTAATCCGGAATGGCTGCCACTTTGACATGAGCATGAATCGTGCGTCGCCCGCTATCGCTGTCTACGAGGTGCGGGGCAGCGAGTCGTTCGTGATAGCTTGTCGCCACCGGTGCACGGCATCCATCGGGACTCGGGAGGGGCGATGACCGGCGGACTTGAAGTTGTTGCCGGCGACTTGTCCTGTCGGCGATCTAACCAAGTCGCCGGCAATCTAGTTTAGCCCAGGGGTATGCCCGACGCCGGCGTCTAGCGGTCAAGGAGACCAAGTCCCGCCTCCAACGACCATTCATAGCATTCTCTTTACCCTGGTCTTATCAAGGCGAACACCAAAGCTAGAATGAAAAGATAAGCGGAGATAACGAGGAGGCTAGAACTACCCCATAGTCCACGAGCTGCCGTGCCCACATGGCCTGCGGGCGCGGCTATGGAACTTGGGCGAGGCTATCCAAGTACATGACATGATAGCCATTGCTCTTCGGATAGGGTCATCCTTCTCCAAAGGTGCTCGCCCCTCGTCTTCAAATATTCCTGACTGGCTCTTGCCTTGACATTCAAAGGTCGACTAGACGATTTATCTCTTGAACTCCCGGTCTGCACATCACTCTATTCAACTGTGTCTTCCTGCTATTTCTCTCAACCGCACCTGTGGACAGACAAGTCTACGGCCACGCGCGCGCGCCTCAGACACTTGTGATATTCCACTAGTCTCGACCATGGAGGACCCCAAGAGCTCCAGCGCTTTCATCGCGGCCACTGACATGGAGGCCAGCCTCAGCGGCCATGGCTCTATCCGCGCTGAGCCGCCCGAGGAGATCAAGCGCGACCTGAGTTCTCGACACATCAACATGATTGCCATTGCTGGTATGATTGTAAGTTCTCCTGGGTGGAAAATGTACCACTTGGATGAAACATGCTGACAGTTGACAAGGGAACAGGTCTCTTCCTTGGGTCTGGCAAGGTGCTTTCCATCGCTGGTCCCGCTGGCGCTCTTCTCGCCTACACCTTCATGGGTCTTGTCACGCTCGGAGTCTCCTATACCACTGGCGAGATCACCACTTTTATGCCCAAGACTGGCGGTTTCGTCCGTCACGCGACGCACTTTGTTGAGCCCGCGCTCGGAGCCGCTGTCGGCTGGAACTTCTGTAAGTCTTTTTTGGTTTTGTGCTTTTTTTGTTTTTCGCTCCCAGAGAATGCTCCCCTGGGCCATCCTGACTCCTGAGCTGACCGTTTTCCCGCAGGGTACACGATGGCAATTGTGGTCCCGACAGACATGAGCGCAGCAGCAACCATCATCCAGTTCTGGAACACATCTGTCCATCCGGCCGTGTGGATCACCATCTTTTCGGTCTGCATCGTCGTCCTCAACTTCCTGGGTGTCAGGCTTTATGGAGAGGTGAGACTCAACTGCAGTGCCTTGCTGGCATGTCTGGCTGACCGAAACACAGTCCGAAGTCATCTTTGCCTCCCTAAAAATCATGCTTATCATTGCCCTGATTATCGGTGGGCTCGTTATCGACCTCGGCGGCGGTCCTGATGGAAAACGCATCGGATTCGCCTACTGGGAGAACCCGGGCGCCTTCAACGAATACATCATGACGGGATCCGCCGGACGCTTCCTGGCCTTTTGGAAGGTCTTGCTCACCGCTGCCTTCAGCTTTGGAAATGTTCAAATCGTCGCCATCTCCGGTTCCGAGACACGCAACCCCCGCAAGATTATCCCGGCCGCAACTCGCAAGACCTTTCTGCGCGTCTTTCTCTTCTATTTCCTCAGCATCCTCATTGTTGGCATGATCGTGTAAGTCGCCCCCTCCAGTCTAGGAGCCTCGAACTGAAACCTGCAGTAAATACAATGACCCCTCGCTCTCTTTGTCAACTGGCAACGCAGCCCAGTCACCATTTGTCATTGCCTTTGAGCGCGCCGGCGTATCTGTCCTCCCCTCCATTATCAATGGCGTAGTCTGCACCTCAGCCATCAGTGCTGGGTCGGCCTGTATCTTTTTCGCTTCGCGCACACTCTACGGACTCAGCCGCGACGGCCACGCCCCAGCCTTCCTCCAGAAGTGCAACCGATATGGTACACCTCACTATGCGGTGGGAATGACCTGCCTCCTCCTCCCGCTTGTCTACCTCAACGTCGGCAATGACTCATCCGTCGTCTTTGGATGGTTCGTCAACATCACGACCGTGTCAGGCCTGATTGGCTGGGTTGTCATTCAAGTCACGTACCTCCGCTTCTACGCCGGACTGAAAGCACAGGGTTACTCGCGAGATCGTCAGTCCGCCACTCCCCAGCAGAGCGAAGGCACGACAGAAATTTGCTAATAGTGGTTGTGCAACTAGAACTTCCGTATCGCAGCCCTGGTCAGCCATATGTCGCATGGGCCACGCTGATTGCCAACGTCCTAGTCCTACTCACGTCGGGTTCGTCCCCATATGGCCTTGCGAGGTTTCGAGCCTCATCATGGCACAAGAGCTTCAACGCTGACCGAGAAACAGGATTCGACGTCTTTGTCGACGGTAATTTTACGGCCGCGGGCTTCTTGACCTGCTATCTTAATTTGGCTATCTTTGCCGGTAAGTCGCGGAGACTTCTCCTGACGTTCATAGTGCATGAAGAGTTGAGGCTAACCTACGCCGCAATGACAGTGCTCTATGTGTTCTTCAAGTTCTGGTACAAGTCAAAGATCATCCCACTCGACGTGATGGATCTTAAGACTGAGTTTGAGGCTATTCGGAGGGAGAAGGAGGAAGAGGCCCAGTTGGGCAGCCCGGACGACGGGAAATTCAAGACCATTGTCACTAAGATTCGCAACTGGATCTAGTAATCTGCGGACGGAGATAAAATTATTTGTGTATCAACTATCGACGTATTATTGTTGTATTAATAAGGTGCCTAGCTAGCTTTCGGACACTGCACTGGCCCCCAGCACGTCTGCCTTGAATGACATCCAGTACGACTCCTCTGCCCACTTTCTCAATCGTTGGGGAGAGACGAGAAGCATATAGATGCCTTGCTCAGAACGTGTATCTCCAATCTGCAGCGGCGGCCGAAAGACGACCGCTATATCATCCTCACCTAGAGTCGAGGCGACGAATTGCCAATCATGACCCTGGACAAGCATCCCAGCCAGAAAGTCTAACGTAAGCAAAGCCCTGCCTCCCCAGCGTAAGCTCCTCCACTGGGCCGAGTGCCATGTGGCGATTTGGAGCAAAGCGGCATCATATTGCTCCCTATGACGCTTAGTCTCTATATATACTGCAATCGGACGCTTGCTCAATGTTCCCCACTCTGTATGGTTAACAGAATCGCCCAGACGCAGCTTGTTGAGGGCGTCGATGGCGCCCTGGTCTTCGGCAAGATTGGGACGAATGGTGAGACAAAAGTCAACCATCTTGCTCGGCGCGTCTTTCGGTCGATATGGCGGTAAGAGTCCGGCGTTGAGGCTGCTTGGATGAGCAAGTGACGATCCAGAAGCAAAAGGAATGCTCACCAATACTCAGAGTCAAGCGTGCCAGTCCCGCTCGAATCTTCCGATAGCACCCAAACCAGCAATCGCGTATGAACATCCATATTCCACAACGATTCCCCTTTCCCGTTGGTGTCGCATTCGTCGGCTCGGTCCAATATGCGACGAACAAAAGAACGAGGGGGGTAGCGCAGAGCAGCCGTTTTCGGGTAATCGCGGAAGAAGTAGTAGGGAATTTCGGGGTCCGCAAGATGCATACTGTTATTCAAGGCCAATTGGGGATCACGGGGATGACAGGCCTACCTCTTGTTTCAACGAGTGCGCCAGTATTCCATCACCGTCGTAAATGCGCTTCAATTCCCCGCCGCAGGGCAAGAAGCGACGATGGCTGCGGAACATTCGCAAAATTGACCTGCGGAAGCCCGACAGCTGCAGCTCAGCGTGACCAATCTGTTATGTCGCAGAGGATGTACGCGATACTTTGAACGATTTGTTGGATGATGTATATGATGATGTCGACGCGATGCGTCTTCCCTGTCGTCTAACGGGTACGACGTCTTGCTAGCGCGAGGCGTCAGGTCGAGTTCGCGCATCTGTGCTTGGTCTGCCGCATCTCGTGTTCGCTTGGATAGTGATATTGACATTAGAATTTGTCCAGAAGCTTCGCGCTCAATTCTCGTACTCGGAGATGTAGAGACGGACGGGGTGGGCAAACATCGTCGGAGAGCGGTTTTGCGCTCTGCTATCGTACATGTATTTTTCTTAGTGCTATCGCCAGCCGTATGATATCGTTGGAGTCTCGGTCGATTCTTTGGTCGTTCGAAATCATTAATGTTCCCTTTGGCGTGCACGACCGCAGCATCAACAGAGCTGAGCCAAAGCAGGATGCGAGGGTCACCACTCATATCGGGTGGAGTTGGTGATTAATAGAGCAAATGCGCTGCAGCCATTTGAATATTATTTGTTGATTTGTGACAATCCGTAAGGTGGTGAGGCGTGATCGAGGAGTCAAATTGGGCCGGTTACAATCGACACCGCTGTCTTTTGCAGGGCGGTCTGTATTACGACAGGTCACCTGTGATGCCCTACGGCGAACAACTGCCAGCCTCTCCTGAAGCCTTAGGACTATCAATGTCGCTGTTCGAGACAAATGCGACGCTTAAATAAATCCCTCAGTCTGGTCGTAAATTGCTAGCAAACTCTGTGAAAGAAGAAGGCGTAGTAAATATTTAGCGTTGCCCAATCACATACTCTCCCTGTGATTTCCAAGCACAAACCTCGTAATAACCAATTCTTTCGTAGTTGCGATTCCTTTCAGCTGATCATGGCTCCTGCTGCTCCATCATTCTGAGTGAGTGAGGGAGATTTGGACACCAATCTTGAATGCGATCTTGAATTGAAGTCGCCAGGGCTGCGCAGGATGACGACCCATGGCTAGTGAAGTACCAGAAGCTCAGGACTTCTCGCAAGGGCTGCATTGACGTTGCAGGCCAAACGTGACCAACGTAGTCTTTGCTTCCGATTGATCTTCACTTGCTTGCTCAAAGACCAAAGTGTCAGATTCTATGTCTGCTTCTGAGATCCAAACATTTTCGCGGGCCGGAATTATTGCGTCTAGGCGGACACCAAGCTCTCCAGAGGCCACGTCCTGAAACCTTCAAGGTAAGCCGAACAGTTTTGTTGCCAGTGTCCGCCGCTGCATGCCGTTCTCGAAGAACCCGGTGCTCTGGTCGTGGAGTGGGGAACAAATGCCGCAAGCGAGACCAGAAGAGACGACTACCAACGGGAGACCAAGAGCGCGGAGTCTCTAGCGCTCACCAAGGTACAAGTTCATCATAGGCCAAATCAATCACTCTGGTAATGCATGCGGCATCGAGATCGTGAGGATAATGAATGAAAGAAAGGAGTGAAAGCAAGGACAAAGAAGAACCTCACGTGGTTAATGCATAAGGCCGCGAATGAGCATTTCATTCTGACAAGATGGTTGTCAATTAGCGCAGCCACGAAACTCTAAAAGAAACGAACAGACTCTCGGACGTCGAATGAGATGCCACTGGTGAGTCAGTGACCAATAGCAGCCTTGCCAAATAGAACCAACGGCGTTCCCGTGTTAGATAGTGAGTAGGTAGTTGCCGGCAGACCTCGAGCTAACTTTGTGGCTTGCCTGAAGAAGGGAGGACCTCCTTGTATGGCCCAGGGTAATAAATTCAGCTGGCTCGCAGGAGATAATCTGCCGAGACGATTCTTTTGTTTTCATCGCATCTCAATAGACTGCCAAATGGAGTCCATCCTCTTATTCTACTACTCTTCACCATACCCCGCACGTGCGGCCTGACGACACCGGCAACATCAACATGGCCGGAGAGTCGGGTCCAATATCAGCTCCGCTTCCTATTAATATGACAATAGCTGGTTTCTTCGGCATTGCCTGCTACAATTGCATCGAGATCCTGCTTCTTCTGATTGACCGGTTCAAAAGACACAATGGTCTATATTTCTGGAGCATGCTGGTCACCACCCTGGGAATCCTCCTCCACTCCATCGTCGTACTCCTTCGCTATTACGACTTGGGATCAAACTTCGTCCTCGCCGCCCTCACTTGCATTGGCTGGTACGGTATGGTCACAGGTTTTTCTGTCGTCCTATACTCGCGCCTCCACCTGGTCGTGCCGGACGAGTCTCGGACCCGCTGGGTCCTGATCATGATTATCATCAGCTTCTGCGTCTTCCACGTTCCCGTCACCATTCTTTTCCTGGGCACAAACACCCGCCACACTGAGGTATTCATCGGGGCATTTCGTATATACGAGCGCGTCCAGCTTGCAGGGTTTTGCGTCCAGGAGTGCATCATCTCGGGGTTTTATATCCTCGAAACTATTCGCACACTCAAGCCGATACTCGCTATTAAGTTACCCAAGGAGCGGAAGATGACTAGATATCTTATCATTGTTAATACTCTTGTCATTATCCTCGACATCAGCCTGCTATTCACCCAGTACGCAGGGCATTTCCAGATCCAGACGACATACAAGCCCGTCGTCTATAGTATCAAGCTGAAGATGGAATTTGTCATCCTCAATAGGCTGCTTCGCGTGCTCCAGCTCGGCGGCTACGGCCACTGGCGCTTTCTAGACGCAGGTATAATCGAGCCGGGGGGGTCAGGGGCCAACTCCGGGCAAGATGGCCTGCAGCTGCAAGGAATTTCTGACCTTATAGAGCGTCCTTTAGCAGCTGAAGTGCCTAGCCGCACAACTTGATAGACAAGTATAATTGATGACCTACCTCGGGCCCAGCATTTCAACAATCTCCCAACCACCTCTGACGCAATTTCTCCATCTATAACTCTTTAGCGTGCGTATCGAGGAGGCTGTTTAATGTGTCTTGCCACCACTGGCGATTACGATATCCATGCCATGCAGCCGTGTAATTCCTAGTAGAACGGGTACAACCCTGCGAATTCCCAGTCAATGACACCAACAACCTCAGTGCTGTGTCGCGATCAAACTCAGATAGCGTTATCCACCGCTTTGGGAGGTCGTCACCGTGTATGCGCTCCAAGACAATGTATGCCGATTGTTGTGGACAAAGGAACAGTGCACTCTCGGGACGGGAATAGAGCTGTTAGTGGAAATGAACTGTATTGTGGCTGCTTCGGTGAGATGAACGTAGGGACCAGTCTTGACGATAAGATTCGGGGAAATTTGTCGTCCAAAGCCACCCGCCTTATAGTAATGCGCTGTCGTCTGAAAGGCGACTCGGGTCAAAAGGCGACGAGGGGGTGTTTCGTATAGCTAAATGCCCAGTGCCCTCATGCTCAGCCGATGTGTTATCGATTGGCGGTACACATGTCATAGTGATGAGAGTATAGAAGAAGGCTTCGAGACTGGTACACAGTCAGCAGGCAATCTCTAATGAAGTCGCCATGGAGCCTTCGCGTCTCATTGTACTCCCGCTATGTGCTCGTATACCTCGAACACGGTGCCCAAGCCATAGCGACCTCCCTCCCGTTGGCGTGCCAAGCTATCAACGACTTGTTTTCGCCGCTGAGGTGGGCTAGCAGCGTTCTTTCAAAGACCGCGACTATCTCCTCCGTCTTGCTGAACAACCAGTTGATGCTGGGCAGGTGTCGCGTGCGCCTCTGCTGCCTCTGCTCAAGCCTCTGCATGGCGAAGCAGAGTTTATCGCTTATTTCGCGCGTCTTGGTCAAGTCTCCCCACCATGATGGGCATTCTTGAGCGATTTGGACCATAAGCTCGTTGATTCTGCCTTGCGTGGCGGCTAGAGATGCCGTTGTGTTCGGCGCCATGTTGTTAGGCGATGCGGTGACCCATGCTCCCAAGATCAGCTGGGCTGAAATTCTGAATGAGGATGCCTAGAAGCACCAGTGCCACGGGGCCCAGTCCGGAGGGCTTCCAGCTTGATAGGAAAAACAAGCGCGAGCGGGGAGTGGGCGGAATTATTCCTTATTTGTGATAGTATACAAGAAATCTGTCTGATTGGCGTTTAGCGGCGGTAGCTTGGCGATCGTTTTTCCTGAGATCATTTAACGTGGTCCACCACTGAGCGACGCACACCCCTGAGCGACGCACTTTTCCACGACTATAGGATAAAGAACATTAATTATACTACTATAATAACTATAAAACACCGAAACTATTCAGACTTATATATATTAGATACTTCTGTATCTTCCTAGCACATACGCGTATTATACCTAGGCTTTCTATACTTACTATAACGCCGTAGAGCCCTCTCTGTCCTAGTCCGTTGATTATTATTCTTACGCGTTTTATACTCTACCTATTCCTATACCTCCTTCTAGGCTAGTATATTATATATATCTCCTATAGTAAGTAATCCTCTAAAATATATATATGTTTTCTTAGCCCTCTAGTGCTTATTAAGTACCTTATTTACCTTCTATAATATATATATCTTAGCTATTATAAGGGTAACCGAGTACGCTAATACCTATGTCCTTTTCGTAAGCTAGTCGATAGTAATAAGAATTAATATTAATAAGCTTCTTTAATAACGGGTAATCTGATTTTTAATATATTCGGATTACGAGATTACTTTTATTAGGTTCTATAGCGTCTAGGAGTACTAAGGATCGGTAGCTACGGAAGGGGGATTAGTTAGTATTAGCGTCCGTAACTTAATATCTAGCTTAGATATTATAGCTTTAGGGTCAAAAGGTACTAGGCCTATACCTCTAAAACTTCCTTTATTATTACTCTTTATTATAGCGGTAAAGTAAGCGGCTTTAAAAGCGAGGAAGAACTCGACCTTAGTAATATAGTTAATATACGCTCTAATAAAGTACTCGATTTCCCGACCGTATACTTTCTTTAAGGTACTAAAATACCTAATATCGAGTAGCTAGGTTAGATAAAATAAGTAAGTAAATAGGCTAATAATAATAATATTATTCTCTTTATAAAAGGCTTCGAACTAGGCCGACTAGTAGCTCTTATACCTATCGAGTATAATTATCCGATATATACCTTTTATACGAGACTTTATATACTTATCGAAATATTTAATCTATTCGAGGCCGGTCTTATTATCTATCTACCTATTAGAAGTTAGTTTAATAGCCTAGTCGAGTAAGAGGCCGCCTTTTATATACTAGTTAGCGAGGTAGTACGCGCCTTAAATAATAAGAAATAGCGGGAGGCACTACCTTTCGCTATTAATATACTTAATTATTATCGCTTATTCCCGATTACTAGGCTAAACTACCTTACCTCTTCTATATCGATCGGTATATATTATTACTATAGATATATCAATAACGCCTATTATAAAGCCAGTCTTATCGAAGTTATAGAAGTCGTAGTTATAGATACTATATTTCGCCCTTATATTATATATAAGCTTAAACTACGCGCGAATAAGCTCTAGATCTTCGTAAAAGGCTCTTTAAAAGTTATATACGCGATTAAAACGTGTCTTAAGTTCTAGTTATTGCTTAAAGAACTTCTCGGCCTAGTGCTTACCGACGCGTCCTCTATCGCGTCCCGCGAGTAATAAATTAGCTATATCTTTAATACTAGTGTGTCGGGGCGCGAATCCTCGCGTATCTAGGTTTAATATATATCGAATAACTACCTCCTCTTTATTAACTATTAATCGATAAGCTATATAACATAACTCGAGCTTTAGTACTCGTCCGTTTATTTTATAGCGGAGCGTAGCTTCGGGTACTCTATAGATTACTATAGCTTTCCAGCGGCTAAGTCTTTTATCTTACCGAATAGCTTTATTTACTAGGATAATCTAGCTTTTTTTATAAAAGGTTATTATTATTAGTTATAGAGGAATACTATATATAAGATAGAAATATACGACGCGTGGAAAAGTGCGTTAGTTAGGGGTGTGCGTCGGTTAGGGGTGGACCACGTTAAAGCTTTCTTAGTTAATACTATAGTCCTTGCTTACTTCGGCTCGCTTATATCCTTCCGTAAGGATTCTCTAGAGGCTAAGTTATGGCGAATATTCGCTTTATTCTAATTAAATAATAATTATCGCGTTATTATATTTATCCACGCTAACTAATTATTACGCTAATCGACTACCGGATTACTTCTCTATAACTATAGGTGACCTAGTATTATATCGTAATTATATAAGTCTATAATATCGAAGACGATTATCTCATAGTATCCTTATATCGAGGCCTTAAGGCGATCGGTCTCGCCATCGATAGTCCTATTATTATAATCGAAACTTCCTCCTTCGGTAATGTAAAGCTTATATATTATTTTCTTATAATTCTATAGTAACGTATATTAATTAACTACCGTAAGTAAGATATAGTTTCTTATCGATCTATTATCTAGTAGTACTCGTAATTAATATCCGTTAATCTAGACTTCTAAAACTATTTTTTATTTTCTACTTATCTTTATAGAGTAAAAGATCTTTAGGTTTCTTTCGTTATCTTATGCCTTTTTTATAGGCGACGTTAGTAGTTTTTTAACGGGTAGTATTCTATATCGATATTATTATCCTTAGGGTTATAGTTACTATATAGTCCTAGTTATATCGAGGGGTTTCTTTTCTCCTCCTTATATAAGTAATATATATACCTATAGTAATAAACTCTATAGTCTAGCGTATATCCTTTATAATATCTATCCGTTATATATTATATATATACTTTTTTATTTAGAACCTAGTATTCCCTTACCTCTATCTTATAATATAGGCGTAGTATTTCTTTTACTCTTTTATATCGTTCGCGATTTATTTTATTTTTAAAGATATAGTTTTAGTTTAATTCTTTAACCGGATCGTATAATAGTCTTATACCTTTAGGGTATTCGTTATATCCCTTATATATATAACCGTACTTTAGTATATATTTTCTTTTTATTAAGAATTCTTTTATTAGGTTTTTTTTTTCTTAGTATCTTACCTTTATTATAATTATTTCTTCCTTAGTAAGCTTAAGGCCGAGTAGTGCCATTATTACGTTCTTATATCGCTAGAGTTCTTCTATCTTTTTTTATTCTTTAGTTCGATATTAATTAAATACCTTTTCCTTATTATACTTAGGATAGTCTATCGATAGATATTTATTCTATATCTTCTAGTTTCGTGCGTATACTTTAAGGTATTTAGACGATTATTTTAGTATTATATATCCTACGTTAGGTTCTATATATATATATTCGTAGAGTTCGGCTTTATTTTTTTCGTAAGGATTATCGATAGCTTAAATATTTATTCCTCTAATCGGGTAGATATAATATTTCCTTTTCTTAGTTATATAGATTTTATAGAAGTAATATATATACGAGATCTATAATAATTTATAGTATTTCTCCGCGTTAGGGTTTACCCTTAGGTCGTTTCTTAATAATACGCTTCGATCTTATTCGAGTCTATTTTCTCTAAGTATTATTTATATATAGATAGCTATCTATAAGTCTTCTCCGCGGGGTAGGGGGTCGTATCGATCTATAGCGGCGAAGAGCTAGTCTTATATTATAGCTCGTCCGTATAAGAGATTTATTTCGAGTTTTTTTTTTTTCCTATAAGAATTCTTCTTCGCTATCTATAGAATCGGTATCTAATAATTCTTTATTTAATTTTTAAGTTCGTCGTTATTATTCGACGAGCTACTTTATTTATTATTCTTTAGCCTTATTATTAAACTTGTCTATATTATCTAGCGATTTATCTATAATATCTAGGTATTTTATTAGTCTTATAATAACCTTTTTTATTACGGCTAGAACGCGAGATTAATATAGTACCTTAGGGAACTACCTTAAGTTCTTTTTACTATTTCAGTAAGTCTAGTAGCTATCGTCGTAGTAGGCTATCTAATAGAGTTCCTTATACGTTAGTATTTTAGTTAGCTTTCGTTAGATAGCGGAGAGGTAGTCTTTATATTCTTACTTTTTATCTTTAATAATATCGTAGTATTTATCTATCGTAATTTCGTATCCGGTCTTAGTTATATTTAGTTACTTCGCCTTACCTTTAGGTACTAGCTTCTAGTCTTATTTTTATTTTATTTTCTAGAGAATAATATTCGCGCGCGAAGTATCCTTTCTTACTATAATTATAGTAAGTAAGATTTTTCTTTTCTATAGCGGCGACCTTTCGTTATATAGCGTCTAGATCTATAAGCCCCGCGTATATTCTACTATTAGCTATACTATAGTAAAATCAGGGTCGACCTATATTAGGATAGATTCGGTTTCTATTATCACGGTCGTGGTTTAAGGAGTTAGTAGCGTATTATTTTCTTTTTTATTATTACCTTCCGAACTATTAATTATCGATTTTAATTACTATTATAATATACGTAAAGAGGGTAGTAGGCCGATCTTCCTTATAGAGCTTATCCTTAACCTTATCTTTAAGGCCCTTATAGTAGGCTACTATCTTATCTCCTTTACTCTTCGTGGTCCTAGATATAATCTAGCTAAATAAGGCGCTATAATGAGAAGCTAACCTTTTTTATTTTAACGCTTCTAGCTAGTTCTTAGCTAGGCGTTCTTTATCGATAGTCTTAAAGGTCGCTTTTAATACTTTTTCGAAGTTATAGTAATACGCGAAGATATCTTTTATCTCTTACTTTTAGTTTTAATAGATATTAGTTATAAAATCCCTAAGAGTAGGTTCGAATTATATAAGAGCGGTTCTTAATAGATATCCCGTTATGTAATATATTTTATTTTCTTCCGTGCGAAGTATAGAGGGAAAGTATTACTAATAGGCTCTAACTTACGTTAGAAACCCTTAAAGGTCCTTAGTCGTATTATCGAATAGTCTTAGTTAGCGTGG